GCCAATTCCAGTGGACATTTTTCTTTTCACGTGGTACCTGACCTCTCATTTGACATTGTGACCATGGCTTTTGCGTTGAAACACCTTTATCCGTCGACTTGCCTAACACCATATGCTGCTGATTTTCCTCTACTTCGTTGGTTGTTCCTCCTTAGTGTCCTTTGCCTTCATCTGTTAGAGTTCCTTGGAGCTTGGATCTGAGCTCCAGGAACATTTATCCAACTACCTGACATATCTACCTAGATGTCTCAAAGTTGCCTCTAACTTATCAAGAAATGAACACTTATTTTAAAAATATCAAAGCTAATGAGAAAGTATGATAAAAGGACTAGATATAAGATAAATGTACTTAATACTTTTATTATAATGGCAATAACCATGTGGAAATGCTAGAAAAAATTTATTGCATTTACAACAGTGAAAAAAGAGAAAATAAAAGAACATGATAAAAATTTTAATAAGAAAGGCACAGGACCTATAGTTAAAAGATTTAAAAATCTTATTAATGAGCATAAGATCTGAACAAACTAAAAAACATGCTTGGATGTGAAGCCTTGATATCATAAAATGCCAACCATCTTAAAATTAATACACAAATTTAATGCAATTCCAATTAGAATCTCAATAGGGTTGGATTTTTTAAAAATATTTATTTATTTATTTATTTGGCTGTGCCAGTTGTGTGCAGGATCTTTTAGTTGCAGCATGTGGGATCAAACCTGGGCCCCCTGCACTGGGAGCATGGAGTTTTAGCCACTGGACCACCAGGGAAGTCCCTAGGGTTGGAGATTTTTGTTGAGAGGATTGGGTAATATTATTTTAAAGTATATATAGAAGAGTACATATTCAAAATTAGTTTAAAATTTATTGTAAAAGAATATATGTGTAGATAGGAACTTGCTTTAACAAATAATAAACATATTGTAAATGTACTGTAATTAAAACACTAATATTGGCATAAAAATAGACAAATGGTGCAACAGAATTAGCATCCTGAATTGTTAAAATTCATAACAATAATACCTCAATTCAGTGGGAGAAGGGTGGTTTATATCAAAATGATGTTGATAATAGAGGGCTCATATTAGAAATATAAAGAATTATAATACTTATTGTTGACTGGTGGGCCTGTGAAAATGAATGAGGGTACACTCACTTTACTTTTGAAAATATAAATTTCAGGAAAGTAAACTATCTTTTCAAATTTAAAATGCACATACTTGCAACCCAGCAGTTCCACTCCTGTGAATAAATTCCAGAGACACAAAAGCCTCACAAGGATGTTTATTTCAACATTATCTTAATAGCATAAAACAAAAAAACCTGAAATCAATCTGCATGCCCACTCGCAAGGAAGTAGTTTAATAAATTGTGTTTTACAATTATGGAATATTATGCAACTATTAAAAAGATCATTATTAGTTTATATTTCCATGTATATAATTTTGGTGGGAAAAGCAAAATGCCAAAAGTATGTATACAGTATGATCTCTTTTATAAAATAATAACAAAAACTCCTATATATATGTATATAAGTTTGGATATGAATTTTATAAACAAAGAGAAAGGTGTGAAAGGCTATACACCAAGCTGTCAACATTGATTACCAGGAAGAAGGAGGAAGATTGACAAAATAAGTGTCTCAGTGAAAAAAGCATGCAGTATGAGTCCGCCGATACAAAAGGTTGGGGTGGTGGTGAGCTTTTGTATATACATGCGTATGTATGTATGTGTGCGTGTAACCAAACCCATGACTATTACAGCAGTGGTTAAAGGCTGCTACTTGGCCTTTGTCAACCCAAGATCCTAGTATCCCTTTAAAATCAGAAAGCCTATTTCAGTGGCTAATCTCCCATATGCATCTCTAGTCTACTCAGAAGAGCTACTACATTAAAGAGGTATTTATTTAATGTATATCTCACTATCTTGGTGAAGAGAGTCTGGCCCCTCTTGGGAGTGGAGGCATGGTTCAACATTTTAACGTTCACATCTTTGGATTTCTTCTCTATATCGGGAAATGTCTTGCATATCAGTGGTCTTTTTTAATAAATTTTTTAAACTTTATTTATTTTTGGCTGCATTGGGTCTTCATTGCTGCACGTGGGCTTTCTCTAGTTGGGGCAAGCAGGGGCTACTCGTCGTTGTGGTACACGGGCTTCTCACTGCAGTGGCTTCTCTTGTTGCGGAGCACAAGCTCTAGGCATGCGGACTTCAGTAGTTGTGGCACGCAGGCTGTAGAGCGCAGGCTCAGTAGTTGTGGCGCACGGGCTTAGTTGCTCCGCAGCATGTGGGATCTTCCTGGACCAGGGCTCGAACCTGTGTCCCCTGCATTGGCAGGAGAATTCTTATGTACTGCGCTACCAGGGAAGCCCATCTCAGTGGTCTTTAATGAAGTCCACTCTTGTGTTCAGGCTCCAACCAATCAACCAAACAGCAAAACAATTAAAATTAGCTTTTGGAGCTGGCACAGTGTAAATGGACTCTCTGGTAATTGTTCTCATGTTGACAGATTGAATTTGAAATTATATTTATATAAAATTATATATATCAAAATGTATTCTTTATTTGTAATGTTCCTTTAATTATCCTTTTCTCTACCAGAGTATAGCCCTCTTTAAAGAAAGATCTTTGTTATTTATTTTTCTACCTCTTGTGGTGCCTTAAACATGTAAACGCTTCGTAAATACTTATTTGCATGAAGACAGTGATGGCAAGATCATTATGAACTACTACAGTGGCATTTCTTCATTGTGTGGGTCTATACCATGCACTGCAAGATGTTTACCATCTCTGGCCCCTGCCCATTCAATGCCCATAGCCCTCTCTGGTCATTCCAACAACTAAAAATCCATGCCCCCTACTTCCAGAAGCCTTTCTGGGGTGTGGGAGCAGAGAGCTGTTGCTGCCTTTGTTGAGAACCACAAGGCTAGAGTAATTGGAGAAGCCTTTCTAAGGGCAGCAGTATCTGTGCTAAACCTTGAGGGATGAGTGGGATTTCAAAACCAGAGAAATTGGGACACAAACAGCATGTAAAACAGGAAGCACAGTAGACTCTGTCTTAACTGATGAAGCAGTGTGTCCATTTGGAAAATAGTTAGAAACAAAGTTGGATAGGTAGAGTGGAGTTAGAAAGGCGTTGATAAAAGGAGTCTGACAGAGGTGAGAGGAGAGGGAATGGTGTCATTTCACTCTCTAATGCATCCTGCATACTACTGACAAATTAATTTTCTAAAACATTGCCCCGTTCAACAGTCCACTTAACATTGCCTGCTAGCCTTTACACCTTTGATGTGTGTTCAGGGCATTTTATGTCATCTTATGCATCCAAATTTATCTCTTATTATTCCTTAATATTAATTAGGTATTTCTGGTTGGCTGATCAAACTGATATTCCCCCCTCTTTCTTTGTCAGTGTGCTCACTTCATGCTTTGTTAATATCTTTCTTCCTTTATAAAATCTTTCATCATTCTGGCTGTAAAACTTCTTACTATTCTTAGAAGCCTTCTCCCTAATGAAACTGGCCCATAGCACTCCACACCATCCTGATATCTCCTTTCTCTTTCTTATAGTATTTATGGTTTGTCCTACAGTATTTGGCACAAAATTATATATGGCTTTTCATGCCTATTAGTCTTATTTCTCTGAATAATTTTTATTCTCCTAAAGAGCTGTGTGAGGTTAAGATATACCTCACAATATTTTTGTAAGCCTCCAAAGCAGCTTTTTTTTGTCATTTGTCATTTTGATATAGCACTAGATATTCAGCACCCTGAAAACTCAAACTCTGTTTTTGTAGATGACAAAATGTTAATACTGCAGCATTATAATATTTCTTATACTTAAGTTATCAATTTTGTTGTTTCAGTAACTCGATTTAATTATTTTTGAGGGTAGGAACCAAGATGTATGTATCTGTTCCCCCATAATGCCTATAGAGTGTCTTGCTCACAATAATCATTCAATATTTTAAAATTTGATTGCATTTGATAGATTTTTATTTGCTTTATCAATTCTCCTTAGCTGTAACCATGTTCAGACCATTGCTTTGTTTTGCCAACAACAGAGGGCACCATCAGGGTACTTATACATCCAAGAAATAATCCTATCCCAGTCCTAAGTAGCTTTCTTGAGCCACACTTTCCTTTTCCTAAGTAGTGTCATAGAAATTTGGCTATCGTAGTAATTTAGAGTGGCTCAATCCTAATTATAGAGCAATATGGACTTCAGGTCATTTATTTGAGAAAGAATAAGTACTGTCGTATTTTGATCCTTTGTAGTTTTCAGACTTTTTCTTTCTTCTTAGTCTTCTCAATATTCTTTGCTCAGATGAAGTCTTACCCAGATCTTACTATATTAATGAAACACACTCCTTTCCTGAAGGGAGAAGATAGAAGTGGAGAGCAGTGAACGGGAACCCCACCTTTGTACTCCTCCTTCTTCCTGACCCCGCATCCAAAGAGCCAGCTTGAAAATCACTATAACTCATCTAATTTAAAAAAACTTGAAAACAACCTGTTGTTTTGTGATATCTCATTTAGGAACTTAGTATAAAAATAGAAACATTTTAGTTTTACAGTGATTTTTAAGTACAAAGGAAAATGCTGTGGCATACATTTCTTGTTTCAGCAATAAAAGAGTTAATATACTAAGCAGCAGAGACTGAGACACTGCGACTACGGGATAGTGCTTTCTGTCACTGTCGTTTGTGGTTTAAGAAAAGGGGGTGGTGTTCTGCGTTTAAAAGGACTTTAATGAATGCTGTCAGTGTTTGTGAGAGCTAATGGTCAGTAAGGGAAAGGAGAGTAGGGGACAGTGGTCTAGCTGTTTCAGGATAGGTGGATGAGAGTTTGCTCTGATTGAATGGAATGTTCCACCGTGTTTCATCTTTTTTTCATTGTCCTTTGTTCTCTATAATCTGATATATTGGTATAAAAGTAAATGTAGATATATATGTGAATGTGATTTATTTTCCTTTCAATTTGTTTATTGTGTACAACAGGGCATATACTTCTCTTGTCTTGGTTGGATGCACAAATCTCTGTGCAGTGCTTTTTGCCCGTTGCCTAGACGATCACTTGGTTTCTCTGAGGATGTCTGGTTCTCGTAAAGAGTTTGATGTGAAGCAGATTTTGAAAATCAGATGGAGGTGGTTTAGCCATCAAGCATCATCTCCGAATTCTACAGTTGACAGCCAGCAGGGAGAATTTTGGAATCGAGGACAGACTGGAGCAAACGGTGGGAGAAAGTTTTTAGATCCGTGTAGCCTACAATTGCCTTTGGCTTCAATTGGTTACCGAAGGTCCAGCCAACTGGATTTTCAGAATTCACCTTCTTGGCCAATGGCATCCACCTCTGAAGTCCCTGCGTTTGAGTTTACAGCAGAAGATTGTGGCGGTGCACACTGGCTGGATAGACCAGAAGTGGATGATGGCACTAGTGAAGAAGAAAATGAATCTGATTCCAGTTCATGCAGGTTGATTATTTTCTTACTGATAGAAATGGGGTGTGGGGGTATATTCTATATACTGTTTAAAATAATTTAGTATTATTATTTAAAATCTATGATTATTTATATATATATATATATATATATATATATATATACCTCTACATATATACACATACGTAATGTCTTGGTATGTATATGTGATACTTTTGCTGGGATTTTTAAAAATGTTCTAATATTGATTTTAATTCTGTAAAATTATAAAGACAACAAATAGCTTTCATTTTGAAATATCTTGTGTTCCCTATATAGATCTGGCTCTGCCCTGAAAATAATACATGGTAGCAATTTTATGCATCATTGCCTTGCATTTTGCTTCATTCGTTTATCTTCTATAGTCATAGCAAAACTCTAGAAGACATTTCTATAGTATAAAAATTTTTATGACATTTTAGTTTGCAACAGATTATAGAGTCATTTTTAAATTTTTATGAAAATGAAAGATTTTATGAGAGGCATATTGTAGTTGCCAATAATTTTTGCACCATTGTAGTTGTCAATAATATTTTTCTTATGGTTATTTCTCTTTGTCCTATGTTGCAGCCCTCCAGACTAATTCAGAGAATACAGTAACATGTCTCTTTCTAAGATGACAGCTACTAATTCCTGTTGCCTTCACTTCTCTGAAAATTGTGCTATTTAGGGAAATGAAGGACATTCCTTCAGGAGAGTGTAAGGGAACATAGAGGAGCTAGATGTGGTCAGCTGGTGAAAAGGGGGCAAAAAGAAGAGGAAATGAGTTTGAGGAGAGAAAATTAAAAATTGGTAATTTCATAATGACTTTATCCACCTTCACCCATGGAACCAGTCTTTACCTCTGAAATGAATTTTCTTCTTAATCAGTTTAAACTATCAATACTATAGCATATTATGTAACAAGTTAGGGCCTGAAAGTCATCTTTCTGATTCATCTTCATTCAAAAATATTTAAAGGCTTATTATTTTTCTAGATTAATTACTGGATCCTTTTTCTTTTAAAATTTCTTTACAGGTTTTGATAACACTTGTAATTTGTATGTTGGTTATTATTAATATAGGCATCATAAGAGATGGAGACAATGAGTTTGTATATTCAGATATCTTTTACTTGGGGATATTTACCGCCTTCTCTTCTAATCTTCAGAATATGGAATTCTGAACTGTGATGCTGGAATAATAACAAATATAGAACAGTCCTCTATAATCATTTGTGTAATGGAGAGAGGGGAATATCTTTACATAGGTAACTAGTGTATTTAATTTTTAAAAATTTAATTAGTTTATGATTTAGCATTATTTTAAGGGAATAGGAGCCACGAATAATTTTGATTGGAGATTATTCGAATTAATATGGTTTCATTGTTTTGTATTTTCTTTGGATACTTGTTGCCATAAAAAGAATAAAGTATATATTAAAAGGTTCAGGGTTTATCATTTTTGGGATAAAACCATTCCCATTTGGTGGGAAACCAAAGAGTAATCATCTTTTTATTTGAAACCAATGCAATGTATCAAGAATATTCTAACAAAATTAGACAAAAAACAAAACATTCATTCATTTACCAGCATTAGTTATGAAAATCTTAACATGTATCTACTACCTGGAGAGATTATGCATATGTGAGTATAAAATTTATATACATGTATAACCTTAGAAAGGTTGTACACACATAGGTCACTATAATTTACTTCCTTCAACAGAAGTAGTTTGCATAGCTAATGATTACTGAAATTAAGTTAATCTATTCTTTAGTATCCATATTAAAGTGTCATCTTGATGGGATATTCATTATGACAGAAAAAGACTGTTTTTTTTTTACTGAGGTAGCTATGTGCATACTTCAAGAAAATACAATTGTCGATGGGAGTAAACAGTTCACATCTGCAGTGACCAAACTATTTCTAAAATATTATTTCAAAAATAAAATGTACTTAGAGAACATGTCTTTGATTTTTAGATATAAGAGGGGAAATCTGTCAAAGAAATTTAATATTCCTGGTGGTTTAAAATTTCTATCCCAACATCTTATTGCAAAAAAGTAAAAAGCATTCTAGATTTTAGAAACGTCATTTGTGTGTATACTTTTACTTTTCCATTTTTTCCCTAGATTTAAATATATCTAATTCTCACATCCTCCTTCAGTCCTCCAGCTCTGAGTCTTTGATCTTCATTATGAGGATAAATTTTTTTGCCCCCAGCTTTTTGATTAAGTAAGCAGTCTCTCTAGGTGTTTGCCCTTCTACTGTAAACAAATCAAAAACTATCACTGTTAATGTCAAAAGAAGCTGCACTGACATTCATCAGATTTTGTATATAACTTGGAAATAGTTATTTTCATTATATAATATTTGCAAATAATAAAATATATAGTAAACATTTTATTTGAGTATACTATAGATTGATATCACATGGTGGGGAAATACAATATACGAAGAATTTCTCATTTAAGCGGTCATAATACTTGCATAGACCTCAGAACTCAGATTGAAATTTTGAGTTATTAGAAAAAAGGGAAGACAACTTAGTGGTTTTACGTACACAGAATCATAACCCCTACAGTGGGTCCAGACAAGTTAAAGCAGAAGTTAAGAGGCAGCATATTTTGCTAATATGTATGATCAGTTGTATTCTAAGTAGGAGAAATGTCTGCCTGAGCCTTTGGCTTATGGTAATTTCTGCTGTCACACATCTAAGTGATTTGAAAGTTTCTTATCTTTTAACTTGGATCTTGGGTCTATAGCCTAGCCACTCTCTGTCTATGGAATCATCTCTAAGTCATTACTTTGTTTTTAAAATAAAATTAAAAACTTTGTTTTTTATACCATGAGGAATTTTAGACCCTAAGTAATAGTTGTGACCTATGTGAGCAGTAAGTTCCAATGACTTTAACTCAGGATGAATTTTCACCAGGGCCAGCCAGGTTTACATAGTGGCTCACCATGTGACCATAGCTTAAACACAGTTTACACTTTACTGGATTTGCCAATTTTGAAATTATGTAATATTGACATATTGGAGAAATTTTCATTATTTCAACCTTTGTTTATAAAGTTAGGGTTTAATATTTTATATATCAGACTATTTTTAGTCAATATGTATAAAATACTTCTATACAAATATCCAAAAATTATAATAGCTAATATTGATTGGGTGCTTGCTATCTGTGAGACACTGTTCTAAGCATTTTAGTACTATATTACCTCATTTAGTCTTCACAGATTTCTGAGTTAGATTGCTATTATTCTTCTAATTGTAGAGATGAGGCCAGTGAGGCACAGAAAGGGTAAGTAACTTGCTCAAGATTAGTAAGTAAAATGAAACTGCATTTAAAAAACTAAAGTTTATATTTTTACAATAGTTTTAGATTTACAGGAAAATTTCAAAGATAGTATAGTGAGTTCCTTATATTCCCACACCCAGTTTTCCCTGTTACTAATATCTTGTATTAATATGGTGTATCTGTTACTGTTGAACCAGTATGATACATTATTATTAACTAAAGCCCATACTTTATTCAGATTTCCTTAATTTCCTTTTTTCTGTTACAGAAAACGTCCTAACGTCCTTTTATCTGTTACAGTCCAGGATACCAGTTACATTTAATCATCATATCTCCTTAGGCTCCTCTGGGCTGTGACAGTTTTTCAAACTTTCCGTTTTTGATGACCTTAGCAGTTTGGGGAGTAGTGGTCAGGTGTTTTGTAGAATGTCTTACTCAGTTGGGATTTGTCTGATATTTTTCTCATGCTTAGGTGGGGGTTAATGAGTTTTAAGGAGGAAGACCACAAAGGAAAAGTACCATTTTCAGCACATCATATCAAAGATACATATCATCAATCTAACTTACCATTGTTGATATTGACCTTGATCACTTGGAAATAGCTGCATTTTGAACCCAAACGATTAACATGTAGATTTCATGCACACATACCAGTAAGCAGTTCTCTGTGACTATTCATTTAATCACTGAGTTCAACTTGGATCAACATAACAGTTAATGATTCAGTCTATCCAGTTTCACTTTCTCTCCTCAACTAATTTTCTCAGGCTGGTTCTTGAAAAAGCCAACCCTGGCTGGCATACAGGTATAATCTCTCGACACACCCACAACCCTTTACCCACAGTCGTCCGATCTGTCTTACCCATTGTTTGCTACTCTGTGTTTCACCTGCACATACCCTTGAACTCTTCTATACCTTGTCAGTTGATTTGCTATTCTTTGACTCATCTTGAAGGCATGTAGGTCCTTCTCCTCTCCCAACAAGGGGTTATCTTCATAATATACCATTTCTCAAGTGCTATCTCCTTTTTCTTGACCCTCTTTAGGTTGTCTCTATATCTCCTTGTTTGAACCATTCTATTAATTCTGGTTCACTTTAAAATTAAAATCTTATATGTTTCCACATGAAAAAAATTTTGCTTCCAGAGATGGCAAAGAAGTTCAACTATATTGTACTTGTATCTGGGAAGGATGTATTGCATTGTCCTCCCTCACACGTGTATGCCCAAGTCATATCATGGATTCCCTTGACATAAGCCATGGAACCTCTCCCCAGAAAACCGTCTGTATGTGTGTGTGCACATACATGTGCGTATGTGCACATATGTGTGTTAAATATTTCATATGGGGTTCATATGGGGTTCAAGGAATTCATGAACCCTCTAAAACCTGTCTATACACTCTATCAGTGTTCTTAGTTTTAAGCAACTGAAATTGGCTGGTTTAAACAGAATAGGAATTTATTGGAATCATATTAGTTCCTAGAAAGAATCAGCTTAGGAAAAAGTTTGAGCATTACAGTTGCACAACTGGTCTTTATAAGTCCAGATTTTTAAGGCAAAAGAACCTTTTATGACACTTATTGCTTATATTTTATTTTCATCTAGTTGGAACTGGATAGTGAAGTTTTACATTTTTAGAATTAGATATATTAGGCATGAAAACAATGATACACATGCACACACATACACACCCCACATAATCACTCATATGCACAGAGCCATATAATTTGGCCATTTAACTTTAGGGAATATATTAGTAGAGAATAGGCTAAGATAATATAACAAAGAGATTCAGAAATATAGTGGCTCAAATAAAATAGAAGTTTTTTTCTCTGTCACTTAACAAATGGGGAAGTGGCCCAGGGCAGACAGGTAGCTCTGCTACACAGGTTCCCTCAGAGACCCAGATTCCTTCCATATTGTTTCTCCATCCTGTAGGGTGTTATTATTTCTTTATGGTCAAAGCTTCCTCAGCTCCCCCTCTGCATTCTAGCCTATGGGAAGGACCAAAGAAAGAAAAGGGAGGACATTAAGCAAATAACACAAGTTGCATATATCATTTCTGCTCACGTGCCATTGTTGAAAACCTAATCACATGGCCACAACTAGTAGCAAAGGAGGCGCAGCTGTGGTCTCTGCCTGGGTAGCCATGTGTCCAGCTAAAACTCATTACTGTGGTAGATGTGAAGAATGGTTTGGAGGTTGTAATCAACAGGGTGCAAGAGGTGAGGACAGCTGGATAGAACTCTTCGGAATCTTTGGATCTAATTTTTTAATGAGTTTTTTCCCATATTATTTACTATTTTTACCACTGAGACGTGAGCAAATAGAGATAAGCAAAAATGGAAAAACAAAAATTATAAATTACCCTGCCACCCCAAAATAATAACCATTAACAATTTGAGGAAGTATCCTTCCAGTATATTTTAGGTAAGTATAGAATACAAATATGTTTTTAGAATAAAAATCTGAATCTTATTGTACATACTATTTTGTAACCTTTTTCACCCTAATGTAAACATAAAATTAAGACTCCTTTGGTCAAAAAAGGCAGAAGCCCCAACTCAAACTGACAAGCAAAAACTAGAACATTTTGATTCACATAAGTAAATAAAAACTCAAACAACTTTAGACATGATGAATCCAGATACTCAAATAACACCAGAAATCCTTTTTTTCCCCCTCTTTAGAATCTGTTTTCCTTTGTGATGGCATTACCTTAGACAGGCTTTCTTTGTGGTAGCAAAAAGCCACTAGTAGCTCTAATTTTACTTTTTATCAGCTTAACCTCCTCAATGGAAAGAGAGTGACTCTTTTCCAAGAGTACCAACAAACATCTTGAAATGGACTCTCATTGGTCTTGTTTGGATCTTATGTCCACCCAAATCAATCATTATAACCAGTAGATATGATACTCCTGTTGGCCAGGCCTCAGTCGCTTGCTCACCTCTGCCCAAGCCCTGTGAACTGAGGTAGGGTATGTGTGGTTTCCCAAAAGGTCGAGATGGGTCTGTTACCATAGAAAGAATCCTGGATAGGCAAAAGCAGTGTCCAGTAAAACAGCTTGCTATGTCATTAAATGTTCTCCTGTATCTTTGTGAATGGCTGCATCATTCTCCCTTGCACAGACATACCTTTTGGTTATTTAACCAATATTCGAATTTTTTTGGAATTTAGATTGTTTCCAATATTTTCTTGTTAGAAACAACCTGTGATAACCCCCTCCCCATAGTTAGATCTCTACATACAGATGACCATTTCCTCTGGATAAAGTCCCAAGGGTGTGCACGTTTTTAGGGTTTTTGATCTGTATTCTCAAAGTTATTTCAGGAACATTACTCCTCTTTTAATTCTCAGCAGCATTGCATGAGAGGGCCCACTGGCCCTTCTCCTTCACACTGGTTATTGTTTAAGAAAATCTGATTCTTTTATAAACAACATTTGACTCTTTTCACCAAAGATATTCTGACTGCAGGATCAGCAGAGAACTCCTTAAATTCCAAAATGAAAAAGTATTTCTCTTGAGAAGGGAAGAGGTGAAGGTATTCTTTTTCTTTGCCTCTTGCCATTTCTCTTTATGCACCTGCCTTGTCCTCTCCTTAAAAGAGAAAACCCCAACTTCTCTTCCTCCTTGCTCATCTAAACCTTAAGATGTATTTCAGATCTCACCTGCTGCTTGTTGCCTTTCCGAACACCAGCCCATACTGATCTTTCCTTTCTGTAAATTCTGATCGCAGTTACGTTCCAATTGGGGATGTACAAGATGATCTGTTGGAGAAATGGTAATTATATGTATATATATTAGAATGTTTATTTACATTTTATTTTTTAAATCTATTTTTTTCTGTTTTATAATGTAAATAATAATTGTACAATGATATATGTATATCTTTTATAAACTCATAAATATGCATATATTGGGGCACATGCTTAAAAGTATACTGAAAAGGATATGCATAAAAATATTTTTAGAGACTGCTAGCCTATACTAAGCAACTTACATTCTTATTTTACATTTGTGACTTTGAATATGTGTAAAAGATGTCAAAAGATTCATGATATAGTAATCTGCACTTTGGCAAAAGCATGAATTCTGAATGCCAGAAGCTATGAGGCAGCTTATCACTTACCTGGGGAGTGAGCCAAACAGACCGCTTAAGAGTTTCAATGCAGCTTTGTTTTCTATGCAAAATCATATACAGTATAATTCTTGTGAAGTGATTTTTAAAACTTCTTTTTGAAAAATTACTCCATTAAGAAAGCCTAATGCAAGTTCTGGTGATGATAGTGAGGAAATCTAAATAGTTTCTAATAAAAAGATAGTATTGGTGCATATTGTGTGCGCACAGATGTGTGAAATCTGAAGAATTGCAAGTATTAGTGTTGCTGTTTACTTTTTTCCACTTTATAAAACTTAAGTCTTCAAATTCTAAGTCCCTTCACTAAAAGAAAAAAAATCATACCTTCTTTGCATCCCCAGTTTCTAACAACTGGTGCAATAATGCATCTCAGGAGTTACTCTATAAATAGCTGGTGACTTGATTTGTTTGATACTTGCCTCTTTTCTGTGTTTAGGCATTTTCTGACTTACAAATTCATAGCCTACTGCAGAGGGACAATAAGCTAAAAATTAAATGTTTCCCGGTAGCCTGGAAATATCCAGCAAGGTAGAGTTCATTACAAAGAACGTCTGTTACAAAAGATTTGAATGATCTCATGCTGCAATTCTTTGAAATATGACTTACCATCTTAGTAACATCAAAGAAATAAAACTAAGCAGAAATGTTAGATATATTTCCTCTGTTACCATGTAAAGATCTAGTAGGAATCACAGAGAAATATGTTTTAAATGCTCCATAAATGGCCTATTCCCAGATGTTTATATTATGGGTTAGGATGTCTACTGGGTTTGTTAAAGGCCATTTTAATTAAGAATCAGGAAATTTCGTTATAAAAATTGATAATGTTGGCGATCGTTTTTTAGGAAGACAACCAAACAAACAACATTGTATAAGACAAAAGACTGAGATTACAGGCCTTCCCATTGGCCTTTGAAAAACAAGGATCTACTAATAGGAGTTTATTTACCTTGATTGTGTACTTTTTCTGTGCTAGGGATATGCATTCATTTAATAATCCTCCCATGAAGGATCCTCTAAAAGAAAGTACTATGTATTACTTATTCCTGTATTGCTATTGGAGGTAAGACTTAGAGAAGTTAAATAACTCGTCCAGATACATAGTAACAGAGTTGAATCAGCACTATGCAATAGAACTTTATGCAATGATGGAAATGTTCTATATCTGCACCATCCAATCTGGCAGCCACTAGCCCCATGGGGCTACTTGAGCATTTGAAATACGACTAGTTCAACTAAAGAACTTTTTAATTTTATTTTATTTTAATTAAAATAGCCACATGGGGGGCTTCCCTGGTGGCGCAGTGGTTGAGAGTCCGCCTGCCGATGCAGGGGACATGGGTTCGTGCCCCGGTCCGGGAAGATCCCACATGCCGCGGAGTGGCTGGGCCCGTGAGCCATGGCCGCTGAGCCTGCGCGTCCGGAGCCTGTGCTCTGCAACGGGAGAGGCCACAACAGTGAGAGGCCCGCGTACAGCAAAAAAAAAAAAAAAAAGCCACATGGGGGCTAGTAGCTACTATATTGGACAGCACAGTTCTAGAACCTTCCTAAAATGCTCTTAATCACTACCCCATACCTGTCCAATTCAAGCTTCCAAACCAAAACACATAATAGGAAAAGAAATAGTAAGAAAGTAATGACATTATAAATTACACAGAGCCAGAGTATTAAAATCCTTTGATTAGCCAGAGATAGAGATGTTATCTCTGCCCCATGGAAAACTAAGAGACTCTTGCTGTCTTAACCCTAGCTAAGGGGCAGTAACAGAGCAGTAGACTTTTGTCTAAGATCCTGAATTCTCATGTCTTTTGTTGTTGTTGTTGTTATTGTTAGATTATCCTCATTCATATTGTACTATCATTCTCCCTTCATACCCTTGGTCCTTGCACTGACTGATGCCTTAAGGTAAAGGTAAGCAAAAATTTCCATTCCTTTGTGAGTGATTTGACCAACATTCTGAATGCCTCCTGATCCCTGGTTTTGTATCCAGCTACCTATATGTCCTTGGTTGATCACTTTGAGCCATTTGGGGCCTCAAAATTTTCTCATCTGCAAAATAAGGGAGTTGAATTAAATGACTACATAGGTTCCTTCTAGATGTAAAAATTCTGTGTATAATGGTTCTGATACCTAGGTTCTACAGTTGGCTGGATATGCAGCAAATTCTTTTTTTAAGTAAATTCTTCCATTATTAAAATTGTATGTGCAAGGTCCCAAATTTCTTAAAACAGAACAAGAAACGCTAGAAAGCTGTGCAGCTCTTTAAGCCTGAGTAGCTTTGTTCCTACCTCTTTCATGTTCCTTTTGTGAATGGACAGCTTTGCTTTTCCACAGACTACAAATCAGAAGCCTGCACTTCTTTTGATCCTTCATTTGGAGCAGTGGGAGTGATTGCTATACCCAAAAATCTCTGAATTAATTGTCACATTGAAATAACATGTTTATTTAACATGTGATAGCAAATGAAGCCTTGAAAGCAAATCAAGAAGTTCGAAATGTTCAGCAGAGAGTGTAAATAGGAGTAGAAAATTTGAATTCTTAGGAGCCAGAGAGCTAATACAAATCAGCAAAGAGGGTAGGGTTGGTGGTCAAGAGGGCAGCTGGTCCCTGGTAAGATATTAGATATTTATATTAAGAAAATTCTCTTAAGATATAGTGAGGCTTAATTCAGCAAAGCATTTATCAGAATCATTATATCCTTAAAAGTAGATCTGATGAGAAATGATAACTAAGTTATGGCATAGTCGGTGGTTTTGTAGTTAATTGTATAACCAAGGGATGTTGATTACTTGATTCAAGTGATCTTGGAGAAGGGATCTAGGGGAGAGGGGTGGGTTTAGGATTTCATTCTTAGTTTCAATCTTTTCACTTTTTCACCATTTCCATCAATGAATCATAATGAAAATATAGAACTCATACTCTTCAAATTATAATTTGGAAATTTCAAATCATTTTTAGATACCTGGGTTAGGCCATCAAATTCTTTTAAGCTATAATCTAAGTTATAGGTTACCTGGGCTATTGAAGACTAGTCAGAGAATCAAATGATTTATTTATAATTTATAATGATCTATTAATAATTATTATTTATAATTTATAATTATTTATAATTCATTTATAATTTTATGATATATTTTGTATTCTAAACAGTTATAAATGAACTGTGAACATAACCCATTTTTAAATAAAGGATGGCTTGGGTTTATATCTCCAAAAGGGTTTAATTCCCTTTCTGCCTTCAAAAAATGATCTCTTGGGCTTCCCTGGTGGCACAGTGGTTGAGAGTCCACCTGCCGATGCAGGGGACACAGGTTCATGCCCCGGTCCGGGAAGATCCCACATGCCGCGGAGCGGCTAGGCCCGTGAGCCATGGCTGCTGAGCCTGCGCATCCGGAGCCTGCGCTCCGCAACGGGAGAGGCCACAACAGTGAGAGTCCCGCGTACCCAAAAAAAAAAAAAAAGATCTTTTATGCCCTTAAATATAATGTTGGAGCTATGACTATCAATATGAATATAGTTTGGCTCTTTTTCAGCAGAGACGTCGTATTGACCAGAGAAGAGACCTCAGGAACAGGCAAAGAATATATGTAGCTATTAACTAGAAGGTATCACATTCACAGTGTTTGCAAGACACACATATGATTTGAGCCATCATTTGATTTTCAAAGGCAAAAATGATGCATGATTGTTCATTAATATAGACCGATAGCATTGCTTCTATTACGTTTGAAGGATTTAAAAGGACTTAATAGGAAAGATATTTTTAATGTGTTAGCAACTTTTCAAAATGTGTGTTTTCTTTCTTTTCAGGACTTCCAATAGCAGTCAGACATTATCATCCTGCCATACTATGGAGCCATGTTCATCAGATGAATTCTTCCAAGCCCTTAATCATGCTGAACAAACATTCAAAAAGATGGAAAACTATTTGAGACACAAACAGTTATGCGATGTAATTCTAGTTGCTGGTGATCGCAGAATTCCAGCTCACAGGTAATTGTTTTCTAAATTTCTATATGTGTGAAATATTTCCTTGATCATTTAATTATGTATATTGAGGTAACTTGTTCTAATTGATTATGCAATGGACTCTTTTGGTAAAGTGGTATATTTCATGGAGTTTCTGCAAAGAAGACAGTGCATATGAAATTATTACACATTAAATGACCCCAAAAGGATCACTTTCCCTCTGTAGAAGCATAAAAACAAAACATACCAGCCTGAAATCAGTATTGTTTGGTATAGATTTCAGCTACTATGAGCAGCACTCCACCTAATTCTACCTATTAAATAACTTTCAGTAAGCTCAGTAGAAATTAGAGCTTTGAGTATTTAGAAACAAAAAGGCTGGTGGAATGGAGTGGCAAAACTGTTGAGTTTTTAAATAGCCACATCTATTCCAACTTCTGTTTGCCTGCCTCCAAGAAATATGAAAAGCAGTGGTGCTAGGGAATAAAAGCCTTTAACAGAAATGAAGTATTACTTCTTGATGTAAGAAAAGGAAATAGAAGCTGTTAAATAAATAACGATTCATTATTTTTCTCCTAATAATTACATATTTAATTGTTCAGTGTTAATCACCATTATGATCCCAAAGGTTTTTTTTATAATACCTTTCAAAACTAATTAATACTGTGTCCCAAAAGTTTTGTTAAACCCTCCAAAGCGAAAGTAAAATTAGAAAAAATGGTCTTGGTCTTAAAGTTTTCAGTTACTCAGTTCAGCATATATTTATTGAGATGCTACTATATATTGTGACAGAAAGTCCATGTTGTGAGCATGGGTTTATTAGAAAGATATTCCAACCTAAATTTCATACAGGCATCTCAAATTCCCTGTTTACAAAACAAAACTCATTACCTTACCTGCAATGCTTGTGAAAGCCATTACCATCTCACCTGGATTACCAGTGCAAGAAACTCCTAACTAGTCTCCCTGTTTGCACTTTTTCTTCCTACATTCCCTTTTCTACACAGCTCCCTGAGTGATCCTTTAAAATGGAACTTAGATCTGGTTGCTTCTCTGATCAAACTTTCCAGTGCCTCCTCATGTCACAGTGTGAAAGCCCATTTCCTCACAGTGGCTTATGTGACCCAGCCTGCCATTACCTCTTTACCGTTCTGCCCTCCTTTCTCACTCTGCTTGAACCACACTGACCCCCTTGTGGTCTCTTGTATGTGGCAGGCATGCCGCTTCTGCCTTTCGATTTTTGCACTGGCTGCTACTCTGCCTGAATGCTGTTCCCAAATACCTGTGTGACTAATTCCTGCACCTCCTTCAAGTCTTTTCTCAAGTGTCACCTTCCCATGAGACCACCTATTTAAACCCACTCCCCATTTGCCCTTACCCTGCTTTTTTCCCCATGGCACTTATCACTTTTTGATGTACTATAGAATTTACTTCTGCTGGGTATTGTTTGTCTCCCTGTAGAATATAAGACTCCATAAGAGAAGGTATTAATACATCTCAAGTATTTAGAACAGTGCCCAGTATTTATTAGGTGTGCATTATTATTTGTTCAGTGAATAACTGAATGAATGGGCAGTTCTCAGAAGAAGAAACCTGAATGGCCAAAAAACATTTGAAAACACCTTCAACCTCACTAACAATCAGGTGAATGAAAATTAAAACAACAATGAGATACCATTTAACACCTTGCAGGTGGCCAAAATTTTGACATCGACAATATTGTGGGGAAAGGTTAACTCTTATGCAGTGCTGATGCTAGACTAAACTGGCACAGCTCTTTGGAGAGCAGTTTGGCAAACCTCTCTCCTGGGGAGAGAGGTAAAGGGAATTAGAGAGGAGCATAGAGAGAGCTTCAACTATTACCTGTATCATAATTTCTACTTCTTTAACAAATGAATAAAGTAAATCTGTGTAAGTGTGCTGATATGGAAAATATCCTCAAGACATATTATCAAATGAAAAATGCACGTTTCAAATACATATATTTATAACCTATTTTTGCTTAATATGTGACTATCAATAATTTGGACAGAGACATACCTAATATGTAATAATGTATTATAACAAAATACAAAGTATAGTTTTGTATTGTGATAATGATATAATTTTATAACAAAATACAAGCATTATAATATACTATAATAATTTAAAAATCATGAAGTTTAAAAATAACCTGCTAGGGACTTCCCTGGTGGTCCAGTGGCTGAGACTTGTGCTCCCAATGCAGGGGGCCCAGGTTTGATCCCTGGTCAGGGAACTAGATCCCACATGCTGCAACTAAGAGTTTGCATGCCAACAACTAAGATCCCACATGCTGCAACGAAGATCCCACACGTGGCAATGAAGACCTGGCGCAGCCAAATACATAAATAAATATTTTTTAAAAATAACCTAAAACCAAAAAAAAAAAAAAAAAAAACCTAAAACCAGTCTCAAATGTCTTCCATATATTGACTACCTCTACAATTAAAACAAAACTTAGATTATTTTCAAAAGTGATAAAAAGAAGAACCTTTACATTCTTCCCCCCATTTTTTTTACCATCAGTTTAATGCTGTGAGCTTGTAGCTTTTTTTTCAGGATGTTAAAAAGGGATATTTAAGTAGTGAATGAGTAAATCATTTATGTCAGCAGAAAATTTTCAGTAATGGTAATTTGTTACTCAAAGGAAGGAGCTAGAGCATAAAGCAGTTTGTCAAACTTAAAATGCATTTCTCAGTACCAAGCACTTTCTATGGGTAACAAAATTTTTTTTAAAAAGGAAAAGAAAAATAAGGAAAAAGAAAGCAGCAGCATTTACTAATGAACATCAGCTTTGATGTTGTCACTGATTTGTTGCTTTTCTTCTAATATGTTCTTAGATTGGTGCTCTCTTCTGTCTCAGATTATTTTGCTGCCATGTTTACTAATGATGTCAGGGAAGCAAGGCAAGAAGAAATAAAAATGGAAGGTGTAGAACCAAATTCACTATGGTCCTTGATTCAGTATGCATATACAGGTAATAAATCTGAAAATATGAATTTAAAACTTCTTAAATGTAAGTTGTATTATTTGATTTCAGATTTCTGCTTTTAATAAAGCCTGCCTTAGCTAACAGTTAATTCTGCTGTTATAATCACCACCCCTGGTGGTATGTATATAGGTTAAAATCTCTATATTAGAACCTTTAAAATGGTTATCATAATTAAGCTATTGAATGATATTTTTAAATATTAATGTAATAATTTGATGAGTTATGTTTTTTAATTATTGCATTTAAAATTTTAGTTATATGTAATAGATATATTACTAATTAAATCATTCTTTAAAAATTCTGGAAACAAGCTATTAATTTTTAAATTTTAGTAGAAGTCACAAAGTGCTAATCGTTTTTTTTCATGTTTAGTACTTTTTTTTCTTTTTGGAATGTCTTAAATCATCTGTGTCTGGAATGCATGTAATGAGCTCTTGTTTAGAATTATTACTGTTAACACCAATTACCTTATAAACTAAAGTTAATATAATTCCATAGTTAATGGAATTTCTTTTTATCATTAAGGCCGCCTTGAATTAAAAGAAGATAATATTGAGTGCCTGTTATCTACAGCTTGCCTTCTTCAGCTTTCACAGGTTGTGGAAGCATGCTGTAAGTTTTTAATGAAACAGCTTCACCCATCCAACTGTCTTGGAATCCGTTCTTTTGCTGATGCTCAAGGTTGTACAGATTTGCATAAAGTGGCTCACAATTATACTATGGTATGTATTTTTTGAAAAGCAGGAAGGTATATGCTCTTTGCTTTATTCCTTATTGTTGCAGGCTTATCTACATGTTGCTGTCTTCCCATGGCTCTGCATATGTCTTGAGGTTCAGGCTCACTGTGTAGTTTGTCATATTTTCATTGAGTTATGAGGAAAAAAGGTCAAGTAATATTTCTCCTGGACTTATGAGTCAAGCCTTAAGTTATTATAGCCACTAAGAAGCAGAGCGGTAGCCTAGGACTATTCCATTCAAGATTTTCAGATCTGCTGCTTTTTAAAGCAGGATTTCCCCCCCAGACAGTTTATTTTGTAGTACATGGATGAATTTCAGAATTGTCCACATACTGTTGGAAGTTGGTGATAGTGATTGTAGTGTATTGGTGCAGTATTAGTACAGAAGATAGGAGGATGAAAGGGAGACTTTTTATTAAGGATAAATCTGACTATATGTTAGAAGTGTCTTTAGCTACATAGAAAATATTCTTATTAATTGTAGCAAATTATGTGCTCAAAGTAAAACACAGGGGGTTCTGATTCAGAAGCCTGGAGGATAATGGATATAGATTGATCTAGGACAGCAAGAAAATAAGGGCATGTTGAGGGCATACTGTTGGGACCAGCCTCCACCATCTTAATAGTAGAGGGATTTGGGGAACGGAGGTGTGTGGATTTTTAAGGAATGACCATCTTGCTACACATGGGTCTTCACACTTGGGCAGTGATTGAAATTTTTGCTTTAAATGCTTCATTTAGGGCAATACGGCTTCTGAGAGAAGAAAGAATGTGAACATTCACATACACATATATCATTATCCCTGTTACTGATTTAGTCAACATTTAGGGGATATTTTTTTGTCTATCCTCTCTTCCATCCCCCTTCCTTCCATTGAATTGGTTTGTAGGTGAAGGGATTGAACAGTACTTTAGGAATCTTCTACTAGAGAAATAGAGATTTGGAAAAAATTATAAGAATAGATATTTGTAACTATGAGGAAGATTAATTCTGCTTACTTCATGAGCTTAATGTGAGGATTAAATGAGTTAATAGAAGTTTAGCACTTAAAACAGTGGTTGATACATAGTATACCCAGTCAATAAATGATATCATCATTGTCATCATCATTTAGATTTACTCTGTTCAACACAGTAGTGATCTATGTGAGCGAGCAAAAGCACTCAGGCAAAAGCAGAACCTTTATTCTCCCCATGGTGTAATCGCTTCTTAGAAATGTTTCTTATTTATGATGTCAAAGTGTTTCAAGTGAAAAAATAGAGATTGTGTAGACAGGGCAGTACTGTACAGACCTAGCATCATATTAGCTTAACATCTTTTAAATTAAGTCCTTTGAAATATTTCCCCCCTCAAGCCGTTCTTTTTTTTTTTTTTTTTAAGGAGACTGGTACCCTCTTTAAATTTTTGTTTGTTTGTTGTTTTTTGAATTTTTTTATACAGCAGGTTCTTATTACTTATCTATTTTATACATATTAGTGTATATATGTCAATCCCAATCTCCTAATTCATCCTACCACCACCCACTTTCCCTCCCTTGTGTCCATATTTTTGTTCTCTACATCTCTGTCTCTATTTCTGCCTTGCAAACCAGTTCATCTGTACCATTTTTCTAGATTCCACATATATGTGTTACTATATGATATTTGTTTTTCTCTTTCTGACTTCACTCTGTATGACAGTCTCTAGGTCCATCCACGTCTCCACAAATGACCCAATTTCGTTCCTTTTTATGGCTGAGTAATATTCCATTGTATATATGTACCATTTCTTCTTTATCCATTCATCTGTCGATGGGCATTTAGGTTGCTTCCATGACCTGGCTATTGTAAATAGTGCTGCAATGAACACTGGTGTGTATGTGTCTTTTTTTTTGCGGTATGTGGGCCTCTCACTGTTGTGGCCTCTCCCGTTGCGGAGCACAGGCTCCGGACGCGCAGGCTCAGCAGCCACGGCTCACAGGCCTAGCTGCTCCACGGCATATGGGATCTTCCCGGACTGGGGTGCGAACCCGTGTCCCCTGCATCGGCAGGCAGACTCTCAACCACTGCGCCACCAGGGAAGCCCACATGTGTCTTTTTGAATTATGGTTTTTCTCAGGGTGTATGCCCGGTAGTGGGATAACTTGGTCATATGGTAATTCTTTTTTTAGTTTTTTAAGGAACCTCCATACTGTTCTCCATAGTGGCTGTATCAGTTTACATTCCCACCAAAATTTCAAGTGCAAGAGGGTTCCCTTTTCTCCACACCCTCTCCAGCATTTGTTGTTTGTAGATTTTCTGATGACTGCCATTCTAACCGGTGTGAGGTGATACCTCATTGTAGTTTTGATTTGCATTTCTCTAATAATTAGTGATGTTGAGCAGCTTTTCATGTGCCTCTCGGCCATCTGTATGTCTTCTTTGGAGAAATGTCTATTTAGGTCTTCTGCCCATTTTTGGATTGGGTTGTTTGTTTTTTTAATATTGAGATGCATGAGCTGTTTATATATTTTGGAGATTAATCCATTGACCATTGATTCATTTGCAAATATTTTCTCCCATTCTGAGGGTTGTCTTTTTGTCTTGTTTATAGTTTCCTTTGCCCTTCAAAAGCTTTTAAGTTTCATTAGGTCCCATTTGTTTATTTTTGTTTTTATTTCAATTTCTCTAGAAGGTGGGTCAAAAAAGATCTTGCTGTGAATTATGTCAAAGAGTGTTCTTCCTATGTTTTCCTCTAAGAGTTTTATAGTGTCCAGTCTTACATTTAGGTCTTTAATCCATTTTGAGCTTATTTTTGTGTATGATGTTAGGGAGTGTTCTAATTTCATTCTTTTGCATGTAGCTGTCCAGTTTTCCCAGCACCACTTATTGAAGAGGCTGTCTTTTCTCCATTGTATATCCTTGCCTTCTTTGTCACAGATTAGTTGACCATAGGTGCATGGGTTTATCTCTGGGCTTTCTATCCTGTTCCATTGATCTATGTTTCTGTTTTTGTGCCAGTACCATATTGATTACTATAGCTTTGTAGTGTAGTCTGAAGTCAGGGAGTCTGATTCCTCCAGCTCCATTTTTTTCCCTCAAGACTGCTTTGGCTATTCGGGGTCTTTTGTGTCTCCATACAGGTTTTAAAATTTTTTTGTTCTAGTTCTGTAAAAAATGCCATTGGTAATTTGATAGGGATTGGATTGAATCTGTAGATTGCTTTGGGTAGTAGAGTCATTTTCACAATATTGATTCTTCCAAACCAAGAACATGGTATATGTCTCCATCTGTTTGTGTCATCTTTGATTTCTTTCATCAGTGTCTTGTAATTTTCTGAGTACAGGTCTTTTACTTCCTTAGATAGGTTAATTCCTAGGTATTTTATTCTTTTGTTGCAATAGTGAATGAGATTGTTTCCTTAATTTCTCTTTCTGATCTTTCATTGTTAGTGTATAGGAATGCAAGAGATTTCTGTGCATTAGTTTCATATCCTGCAACTTTACCAAATTCATTGATTAGCTCTAGTAGTTTTCTGGTGGCATCTTTAGGATCATCTATGTATAGTATCATGTCACGTGCAGTGACAGTTTTACTTCGTTTCCGATTAGGATTCCTTTTATTTCTTTTTCTTCTCTGATTGCCGTGGCTAAAACTACCAAAAGTATGTTGAATAATAGTGGTGAGAGTGGGCAACCTTTTCTTGTTCCTGATCTTAGAAGAAATGGTTTCAGTTTTTCACCACTGAGAATGATGTTGACTGTGGTTTTGTCATATACAGCCTTTATTATGTTGAGGTAGGTTCCCTCTATGCCCACTTTCTGGAGAGTTTTTATCATAAATCGGTGTTGAATTTTGTCAGAAGCTTTTTCTGCATCTATTGAGATGATCATATGGTTTTTATTCTTCAACTTGTTAATATGGTGTATCACACTGATTGATTTGCATATATTGAGGAATGCTTGCATCCCTGGGATAAATCCCACTTGATCGTGGTGTATGATCCTTTTAATATGTTGTTGGATTGTTTGCTAGTATTTTGTTGAGGATTTTTGCATCTATATTCATCAGTGATATTTGTAATTTTCTTTTTTTGTAGTATCTTTGTCTGGTTTGGTATCAGGGTGATGGTGGCCTCGTAGAATGAGTTTGGGAGTGTTCCTTCCTCTGCAGTTTTTTGGAAGAGTTTGAGAAGGATAGGTGTTAGCTCTTCTCTAAATGTTTGATAGAATTCACCTGTGAAGCCATCTGGTCCTGGACTTTTGTTTGTTGGAAGATTTTTAATCACAGTTTCAATCTCAGTGCTTGTGATTGGTCTGTTCATATTTTCTATTTCTTCCTGATTCAGTCTTGGCAGGTTGTGCATTTCTAAGAATTTGTCCATTTCTTCCAGGTTGTCCATTTTATTGGCATAGAGTTGCATGTAGGAATCTCTTAGGATGCTTTGTATTTCTGTGGTGTCGGTTGTAACCTCTCCTTTTTCACTTCTAATTTTGTTGATTTGAGTCCCCTCTCTCTTTTTCTTGATGAGTCTGGCTAAAGGTTTATCAATTTTGTTTATCTTAAAGAACCAGCTTTTAGTTTTATTGATCTTTGCTGTTGTTTTGTTTCTATTTTATTTATTTCTGCTCTGATCTTTATGATTTCTTTCCTTCTACTAACTTTGGGTTTGTTTGTTCTTCTTTCTCTAGTTCCTTTAGGTGTAAGGTTAGATTGTTTATTTGAGATTCTTCTTGTTCTTTTGAGGTAGGATTGTGTTGCTGTAAACTTCTGTCTTAGAACTGCTTTTGCTGCATCCCATAGGTTTGGGTTTGTCATGTTTTCTTTGTCATTTGTCTCTAGGTATTTTTTGACTTTGTCTTTGATTTCTTCAGTGATTTCTTGGTTATTTAGTAACGTATTGTTTAGCTTCCATGTGTTTGTGCTTTTTACGTTTTTTTCCTGGTGATTTGTTTTTAATCTCCTAGCGTTCTGGTTGGAAAAGATGCTTGATATGATTTTAGTTTTTTTAAATTTACCGAGGCTTGTTTATGACCCAAGATGTGATCTATCCTGGAGAATGTTCCGTGTGCACTTGAGAAGAAAGTGTAATCTGCTGTTTCTGGATGGAATGTCCTACAAGTACCTTATCTATCTGGTCTGTTGTGTCATTTAAAGCTTTTGTTTCCTTATTAGTTTTCTGTCTGGATGATCTGTCCATTGGTGTAAGTGAGGTGTTAAAGTCCCCCAGTATTATTGTGTTACTGTCTATTTCCCCTTTTATAGCTGTTAGCTATTGCGTTATGTATTGAGGTGCTCCTATGTTGGGTGCATATATATTTATAATTGTTATATCTTCTTCTTGAATTGATCCCTTGATCATTATGTAGGTCCTTCCTTGTCTCTTGTCACATTCTTTATTTTAAAGTCTATTTTATCTGATATGAGTATTGCTACTCCAGCTTTCTTTTGATTTCCATTTGCATAGAATATCTTTTTCCATCCCCTCACTTTCAGTCTGTATGTGTCTGAAGTGGGTCTCTTGTAGACAGCATATATATGGGTCTCTTTTTGTATCCAATCAGCAAGCCTGTGTCTTTTGGTTGGAGCATTTAATCCATTCACATTTAAGGTAATTATCTGTATGTATGTTCCTATGACCATTTTCTTGTTTGGGGTTTGTTTTTGTAGGTCCTTTTCTTCTCTGTGTTTCCCACTTAGAGAAGTTCCTCTAGCATTTGTTGTAGAGCTGGTTTGGTGGTGCTGAATTCTCTTAGCTTTTTTTTTTTTTTTTTTTTTTTTTTGCGGTACGTGGGCCTCTCACTGTTGTGGCCTATCCTGTTGCGGAGCACAGGCTCCGGACGTGCATGCTCAACGGCCATGGCTCACGGGCCCAGCCGCTCCGCGGCATGTGGGATCTTCCCGGACCAGGGCACGAACCCATGTCCCCTGCATCGGCAGGCAGACTCTCAACCACTGCACCACCAGGGAAGCCCTCTCTTAGCTTTTGCTTGTCTGTAAAGGTTTTGATTTCTCTGTTGATTCTGAATGAGATACTTGCTGCGTAGAGTAATCTTGGTTGTAGTTTCTTCCCTTTCATCACTTGAAGTATATCATGCCACTCCCTTCTAGCTTGTAGAGTTTCTGCTGAGAAATCAGCTGTTAACCTTATGGGAGTTCCCCTGTATGTTATTTGTTGTTTTTCCCTTGCTGCTTTCAATAATTTTTCTTTGTCTTTAATTTCTGTCAGTTTGGTTACTATGTGTCTCAGCGTGTTTCCTCTTGGGTTTATCCTGCCTGGGACTCTCTGCACTTCCTGGACTTGGGTGGCTATTTCCGTTCCCATGTTAGGGAAGTTTTCGACTATAATCTCTTCAGATATTTTCTCTGGTCCTTTCTCTCTCTCTTCTCCTTCTGGGACCCCTATAATGCAAATGTTGGTGTATTTAATGTTGTCCCAGAGGTCTCTTGGGCTGTCTTCATTTCTTTTCATTCTTTTCTCTTTATTCAGTTCTGCGGCAGTGAATTCCACCATTCTGTGTTCCAGGTCACTTATCTGTTCTTCTGCCTCAGTTATTCTGCTATTGGTTCCTTCTAGTGTATTTTTCATGTCAGTTATTGTATTGTTCATTTGTGTTTGTTTGTTCTTTAATTCTTCTAGGTGTTTGTTCTTTAATTCTTCTAGGTCTTTGTTAAACATTTCTTGCATCTTCTCCATCTTTGCCTCCATTCTTTTTTCGAGGTCCTGGATCATCTTCACTATCATTATTCTGAATTCTTTTTCTGGAAGGTTGCCTATCTTCACTTCTTTTAGTTGTTTTTCTGGGTTTTTTTCTTGTTCCTTCATCTGGTACATAGTCCTCTGCCTTTTCATTTTGTCTGTTTTTCTGTGAATGTTGTTTTCGTTCCACAGGCTGCAAGATTGGAGTTCTTCTTGCTTCTGCTGTCTGCCCTCTGGTGGTTGAAGTTATCTTCCCCCCCCCCAGTCTTTATTCTTCCCTGTAAATTTCTTAGTTTAACTTTTATAGCTCAGGTTCAAATTTTTTTTCAAATAAGATAAATATAAATAAAATAAAGGTGGATTTTTTTCCTTTGTAATTATTACATAATTTACGTAATATTTCTTACCTAAGAAGGAGTTTTATTCACATGCAAACATTTGTATGCATTTAGGCCATTGCTGTTCTTTACAGTAGAGGCACAGTTGCTCCTTTAAGGCTTAGATATAAATTAAATTTAAATTAGCTCGATGTTTATAAAGCTATTTTCATAGCCAGTTAGTTGTAGTTTTTTTCTCCCCAAGGCCATTATTTAACATTATTCAGTTTCAGCAGAGACATGAAATTGAATTCTAATAACAATAAGTAATTTAGAGGCAGGTTGTGTGATTTGAGTTGTTGCTGTGGGAACTGAATCAAAATGTATAGCAAAATTCAGTCTTCAATTTAAATAAATCCCTCAGTTATTTCATGTGCTTGAAAACTATTCCAAAGGAGGAAAGAGCATAATGCTAGCAAGTGTTTGGTAGCATGATAGCTGTTTGTATCGTAAAATGGATTTAAAATATGAAGTAAGCACAATGCCACAGAGTGAAATCAACTGTCAAAATTAGCAAATAGTGCACATACTTGGGATGTTCACTCATCCTGCACGAATACAAATAGAAAAGGATGAAAAGTTCCTTCTTGTAATCCTGAAATCTGGAAACTTTTGTTCTTGTTCTGACTGCCACTGAACGTGACCTGGAAGACATCATGTAACCTCTACAAAAAAAAATCTTAAGACTGGTTATGTCATTACAAATATTGAATGTCACTGTGGATTGATAAAATAAATACAAACATTTGATTTTACAATTTTAAATTTTGTTTCTTGTTCTAGAAAACCTGTAAAAAAACATTGAATTTTGCTAAAGTACTTGCTTCAAAACCAAATTAATACTTTTGAAAAGCACTTTATGTTTAACCTTCAGTTCAGTAGTATTTCTGTAAGGTATTGAAAAACTCAATTTTCACTTAATACAAATTATACCAGAATGGCATGGGCATTGTTCTGAAATAGATATATCAACAAATAAACTATTAATTAAATGAATATTTATATAATCTTTTTCTCATTGATAAAATGAAATTAATTCCATTTGAAAGTATGGCAAGTGTTGTATAACTGCTGACAGTGCTATACACTATACTTTTGAACAATTAGAAATGTATATTATTTTGATTTCTTCAGAATCTCATCTAACATTATATAATAAATATCTTTCCATTTATCTATGTGGTCTTTGTCCCTAAAATTGTTAATGCCTGAAAAATAGCCAATTGAGTTACAACCCCCTAGAGCTGGACATTTAAGCTATTTCCCATTTTTTTTACTATTATAAATAATAATACAAAGAAGCACCATTAGAGAAGCATCAGCTTTTTCTTCCCCCTCTTGTGAATTATTTACTAAGGATTAAACTACTTGTGGTATAACTACGAGTTGAGAGCTTCAACATTTTTATAGCTCTTGCTGTGTGTTACCAAATCATTTTATAATGTCGCTATACAATTGAGTAGTACAATTTGCTTGAAGCCATTCCAGCCCTGAGGTTTTGTTAAAATATATTTCTGAAAAATGATAATCAGTCATATTAAAATAGATTCATTTGGGCATCTTTAACAAATCATGATGAATTGAGGCAATTGAATGTAGTTAATTATTCATGTATGGTTTTCCTCTTAAGAATTTCTTGGAAAGGAGTGAAATGTCAACCCAAGATATATCTTAGATCAGTACCTAACTTGGGTTACTGGATGCTATATGGAAAATACAATTCTCATCTTAATATAGAAGATAATTGTTGATAGTCCTTATCTCTAGCTCTAATTTAAGTATCTTGAGCTATTTTTAAATAGCTCTGATTTAAACAGCCTTAGCTTTTTTTATTAAAACTGTATGCTGAGACAGCCATAGTACGTTAAGAAGCATAAGAAAAACATTAAGGGACAATACTTGTAGCATTTGCGTTTGTATTATAACTGTGTAAGCAGCCCATGCATTAAGACTTGTAACCTTTTACAACAGAAGACTATTTCTTTTCTCTTTAGATTGTTTAGCATAATAGCCTAGTAAAAGTTATCTAAGGGTATTTTTATCTTCCATTTCAAATTATAAAGAGGCTGATTCTAGAATGTAGCCAGAACTGAGTCATCTTCGGTCTAAGGCCCTGGAGTCCCAGTGTACTGTAGGTCAGCATTTTTGTTTTGGCTGTTTTTCCTATGAGACCAAAAGAACTTTGTACATAAATCAGGTAAGAAGAGATTAAAGTTTTCAAATCAGACCTAAAATCCTTGGTGGTCTTATAAATAATATTAAAATACTTTTAAAGGCCAGTTTGGCTCATGGATAGCTCTAAGGACACATTCTCTTCCCAGGCAGTCTGAGAAGACTTCCGTGGTTCAGAATGGTCTTGGGAAATTTAGCCACCCTAGAGGCCATTTCTGGGTAAGAGAAATAACTTCATTCTCACCCAGGTATATCGCTCCCCTCTTGGCTAAAATCTTCTGCACCACAAATCTAAACTCACTTTTGATGTTAATCATACAAAGTGTCTATGTCATTTTTTTCTATCTTCCTTTGAAAGACTTGCCAAAACTATTCCCTAACTTGAGCAAAGCAATGCCTAAAATTCCCAAATTTATTTTTTAATTGTAATAAATGATACAAAGCTTTAATTCTACTTACATAGAAATAAGAATTTCAACAACATAATTACAGTTTAAATGTTATTTTCTTCTGTGTTTTTTCCCTTGCACGCAATAATACATTGTAAGGAAGGGCTGAAGTATAAACTGTGTTTTGGCATCTAATTAAAAAATGTTTAGTTTCTTTTAAACTGTGATGGACAGAAGAAACAATATCAATTATATGCTCTTTTTCCCTCTAGGAACATTTCATGGAAGTAATTCGAAACCAGGAATTTGTGTTATTACCAGCCAGTGAAATTGCAAAGCTCTTGGCCAGTGATGACATGAACATTCCTAGTGAGGAGACAATATTGAATGCACTTCTTACTTGGGTCCGTCATGATTTGGAAGAGAGACGGAAAGATCTCAGTAAACTTTTGGCTTATATTAGGCTACCTCTCCTTGCGCCACAGGTAAACTATTTTTGATTATTTAAAATCAATGTCATAATTTCAACAACAGTAGTTGCTGCAACTTTGAGTAGTCAGCCTTCCACATCTGTGGGCTCCACATCTCAATTTCAGCGAAGTGTAGATTGAAAATATTTTTTTAAAAATTCCAGAAAATTCCAAAATGCAAAACTTGAAGCTGTCCTGTACCAGCAACTATTACATAACATTTACGTTGCATTTACAACTATTTACATAGCATTTGCATTGTATTTGGTATTGTAGGTAATCCAGAGATGATTTAAAGTATACAGGAGACTGTGTAGATGTTATCTGCAAATACTACATATTTGAGGTGAAATGTTGTATCCACACAAATCCTGGAACCAACCCCCTGTCCCCAGAATACTGAGGGACTACTGTATTCACTTTATGCTAATTACATTAATATGAGCTTATCTATTAATTACATTAATATGAGCTTATTTATTCTATTCAATATGGTTATTTTATATATATCCCTATGAAATGTTAAGGTGAAAAGATAGCAAAAATAAAATTCTGTTTGTTTTCAACCCAGAAGGTCTATCTAAATTGCATCCATTAAGTAACATTGTTGCTTTGAGGTTAGTAATTTTATTTGACTCAGCTGCAGACCTATCCTAGCAACTGCAGACCTATCCTAGCAACTGAAGAATTAATAAAGCTGCTAATGAAAGAAACACTGGACTCTAGGAACCAGAAAATTTAGATTAATTCATTTGCCACACATTTATTAAGTATCCACTAAATGCTGGATTCTGATGGTATATAAATTAATAACATGTTAATAGTTCTGGCTCTGACATCCTAAAACTCTGTGACTTGGCAAATTCACTTACCTCGGTTTCTTCATCTGTCAAGTGGAGATAACATCCTTTCTATCTCACAGGATTTTAATGAGGATCAGAAAAGTGCTCTGTGAAATAAAATGTGTTATAAATAATATTAGTATAATTATTACCATTATTTTAGAATTGAGATATCTAGTTGGTATATTCAAAGCAATCAGTAACGTATTTACATGCATAGTTTCCCCTTTTTACAGTTTCAGCTGGAATATACAAAAATTTCCTCTGCATACTTTGCTACTTATTTTGAGGCCTTAAATAGAGTCCTTGAAAGTAAAGAAAGAATGAGTTGTTACTGCTTGAGATCAGATTTTTTGTTGTTATTGTTTAGAGTGCCATGAGTTTAATTTTATTTGTATTTATCTTGAGCATTATATATTATTTCCATCTGTTGTGAGCAAAAGTTACTGTTTGTTCTCTACCTTATAGAAACAAAAATCAGTGCTGCTGCTTTATAAGAAAGACCTCTCTTCACAGATAGAATATTGTTTGAATTCATAGGAGTGAAACTACACGAACTGGTGACAATTCAGGAACAATAACATCATAAAACATTTCTCTTAAAATCAGATTTAAAGATGAGAGGACTATTTTTGCTGATATACAACAGAATTTTTTTCTTATCCTTTTCTAAATGAAAGAAAATAGAATCTGAAAAATCCTAGTGGACTTTGAAAAGAATCTGTGCAATTAAGTAACCTGACAATTTACTTCAGTCCTGTAGCTTCAAATGTTTATGATACTATATTTGCATGACTCTAAGAGATCTTTAAAATTTCTTTTATCCAGGATACTGCTGATAATCATAGCCATAAGATCTTAGAGTTGAAAGGCACTTTGGAGAACATTTAGTCTAACACCTGTTGTACAAATGAAGTAACAGACCAAAAAAGTAAAACCATATGCGCAAAATCGCAAAGTGATTGCATAAATCCCTTCTGCGTTGTAGTTTTCTTTGGCTTTGTTACTTGGCTAACATATATTAGAGTTATGAGACAGAGGTAGGACTTGAACCCAAATAAAGTTCTATGCCTTTTCCACTGAACTATTCTGCCTTTTGAATGTACTTTGTGTAAATTTGCGAGGTGGGGGGAGGGACATCAGGTGGAGGAAGAAATAGATTAAAAAATAAATCAGGGCTTCTCTGGTGGCGCAGTGGTTGAGAGTCCGCCTGCCGATGCAGGGGACACGGGTTCGTGCCCCGGTCCGGGAAGATCCCACATGTTGCGGAGCGTCTGGGCCCGTAAGCCATGGCCGCTGAGCCTGCGCGTCCGGAGCCTGTGCTTCGCAACGGGAGAGGCCACAACAGTGAGAGGCCCGCATACCACAAAAAAATAAATAAATAAATAAATAAAAAATAAATCAGTAATTACAATATAATGAGATGAAGACTGTGATCTATACGTAAACACGGTATTACGAAAATAATTGGAGTGGCCCACCCAGACCGATGGTGGGGAAGCTAGGAGAACCTCTGAAGTGTCAGTCAGTTTGCAGGCTGAGTTCACCACCCAAAAGAATGGGCATGATAGCCCAAGGAAGAAGGGGTTCTAGTTATAGAGCCATGAGCACATATATCGTGTTCTGGAATTTGAAGATAGCTTGCATGGCTAGAGTACAGAAATAAAAGGGCAATGTTGAGAGATGAGTCTGGAGAGGTAAACAGACCGGATCGTGAAGGAACTCAGTCATGCCAAGGTGTTTGAATTTTATCCTAAAAGCAGTGAGGAAGCACTAAAGGGTTTTAAGTAGGGAATGGCATAATTATCCTTTTAGTTTAGAAAGATCCTATAACTGCATTGCAGAGAATGGATTGGAGGAGTCAAAGTAGAAATACACTAGGAAGGCTATTGGATTCAGACCAGTGAATTAATCACTTTCTGGAAGTGGAGGTAGAGAAATTAATTACCAGAATCAAGAGCTATTTAGAAGGTAGAATTGATGCAACTTAATGACCAACTGAATGGTGTGGGGTAAAAAAGAAAAAAAAAGAAGGGTCCAGAATAATTCTGATTTGTGCAACTAGGTTGATGAAGGTGCTGTTGATTAAGACAGAATACAGGATGAAGAGCTGATTTTGAAGGTGGGGAAGAAAGTAGAAGAACCATGTTCCCAGAGCTTCTTGACACCTTGAATCCTCTTAGAGTCTAAGAAGTTTTGAAAACTACTTATTTATGTTGTTGAAGCCAAGGGGAAGAGAGTGACACTGATCAAAGAGAACATGAGGGTACTAGGGGTGGAACCCTAAGAATTACTAATATTTAGTGGTAGTCCCAAAGCTGCCTAAATACCTGTAGTTCCATTAAAAAGAGATTGCAAGTTCTAGAAGGAGGAAATTTTTTTTGCAGGGGGGCTGCTTTGGGTCTCCTTTGCCACGTGGGCTTTCTTTAGTTGCGGCGAGAGGGGGCTACTTTTCGTTGCAGTGCATGGGCTTCTCATTGCGGTGGCTTCTGTTGTTGCAGAGCACGGGCTCTAGGCCCGCAGGCTCGCGGGCTCTAGAGCGCAGGCTCAGTAGTTGTGACGCACGGGCTTAGTTGCTCCGTGGCATGTGGGATTTTCCCAGACCAGGGATCGAACCCGTGTCCCCTGAATTGACAGGCGGATTCTTAACCACTGCACCACCAGGGAAGGAGGAAATTTTAACATCATCAGACGCTACAGAGAAGACAGATAAGGATGGAAAAACCACTGGATTAGCCCAATGGTTCTCAAAGTGTGATCCCCAACTATAGGATCAGCACCACATGGGTAATTGTTTAAAATGAAAATTATTAGGCCCCCAGTCTACACCTACTGAATCTGAAACTCTGGGGGTGGTTATTAAAACACAAGCCAGCTGTGTTTTAATAAGCCCTCAGGTGCATCTGATGCCCACTCAAGTTTGAGAACCACTGTCTTAGCTTGATGAGTAGCTGTGATGGAAGCCACATTGCTCTGTATAATTTAAACAAGTTAATAACACCTCTTGGAGCACTGTTTTTCTTTTCTGCAGTGGTAATACTCTGTTGCACCATTATGGCATTTAGAGATACTAGCAGGGTTTTTTTTTCTCCCTTGCTAAAAGTAAAGGGCAAGTTTGCAGACTTAGAGTTGTCAAGTGATGAAGTATTGAAGTAGACTCTGAAATCATCAAGAAAATGTTGGATTGTATTCTGAATGTTTTATTTTAAAAGATAGGAAAAGGATGAAGTTGCTAAGATCTTAAAAGTTCTCATCACACACCAGAAAATTGTAACTCTGTGGGGGTGGATGTTAACTAGACTTATTGTGGTGATCATTTTCATATATATATATATATATATATATCTCAAATCATTATGTTGTACACGTGAAACTAATATGTTCTCTGTCAATTATATTTCAATAAAAAACAAAAGTGAAAAATGAAAACAAAAGAAGTCTAGTGCCTATCAAATAAATGACTAATTTTTTAATTGACATTAGATCCAGTTACCTAATGAATTTACTTTTGTGAAATAATTCCTTTTTCAATGAGGTTTTACCCTACTCCGTTGATAAGAAACATTCTATTTACCCTAACTAGAAAGAGTTCAACTGACATATAGTAATTTTATTGTAGTGTCTCCTTAAAATGATATAGGAAATCATATATATCATTGTAATCCTCATCCAAATGATCATTTTAGTGTGGCTTTTTTTTTTAAACTCTGAATAATCCAGAAGACAAGTGTGTGTGTAGTTTTATTTTACCTTCGAAAGCATTTCAGACTTTTCTGTTTGATCCCATTTTAAATAATGTGTATAGAAATACAGCTGGCCCTCGAACAGCATGGGGATTAATCTGTGTATAACGTATAACCTCCATATCTGAGGTTCCTCTATATCTGTGGATTCAACCAGTGGACTGTGTAATACCGTGGTATTTACTACTGAAAAATATCTGTGTGTAAGTGGACCTGTGTGTTTTGTATCCACGTTGTTCAAGGGTCAACTGCATTAGGACATTATTTTAAAGATTTTGGCACCTAAATTCTTAATGTTCCCAATGGTTACCCTGTATTACAAGTGTCTTGGTCTCCACTATTCTGTTCTCAATTCTCATTATTGTTTTTTACTAAAATTCAGAAATATAAAACGAGTCAGTATTTATATTTAGTATTTTATTTTACAAGTTTTGTAAAAACTTTTTTTGCAAGTTTGTAAAAAAAAACTTTTAAAGGCTGTAGAGTTCATAAATCATTCACATTCTGTTTTTCACTCTTAGTAGTAGTTGAAGGGACAGTTTTAGTGAAATAGTCATATAGTGAACAAGTATGTGAGTGAAGATAAAAATTTACAAATGGAAAATGTTTCTTCTATTTTCTAAATGTTTCCATTTTAATAATTTGCCATTCTTTTATGGCAGAGAAGGTACATAGTATTCACCTAAAATGAAGAGTATATGAGAGTCTGTATTTTGTAGTGCTTTATCAGTGCCTTCTGAATGATTTTCCAAATGATATCTGGTACCTTCTATTTGATTAATCTGATACTTAGATTAATGGATTCATATTTTCTTCCATTATTTTCATCTCTCTACTTAAATATAATTAATTCCATTTGTTCAAAAATTATAATGTCAGCATGCTAAGAAATATATTTTGCTTCATATTGCAGTAACTATTGAGTCTTACAAGACTTTACTTTCTATAATTTTTTCACATTTATTTTTTTTCAAAGGACTAAAGCAATTATATATAACCAAAGTAATATAAACACTAAGATGAATCTAAATGAACCAACTCAGTGCATATTCATTAATGGCTTCTCTAGCAAGTATAACTGTATTTTGTGTGCACAGAATAATATAGAATAATTAATACCAGAATTTATACTCTGGCTTAGGTCCTGAGACTTAGGTCTTAATTTGGCTTTTTTGCCTTTAGCATGCCGTTCTCAGTTTCCAAATGCCACAAACTATTTTACAGTGACTTTTGTTAGAGACTCTTCCTTCTCTTCCATTATCAAAATATGAACATACTCTCAACATCATTAGCCATTAAGGCGATGCAAAGTAAAACTGCATTTCCCACCCACTCAAGTGGCTAAAAAGAGAAGATAGTAATAATTGTTGGTGAGAATGTGGAGAAACAGGAACCCTCATAGATTGCTGGTGTGAATATAAATAGTGCAGCCACCTTGGAAAACAGTTTGACACTTTCTTAAAAAGTTAACATAAGTTTATGACATGACCCAGCAATTCTACTCCTAGGTATATACCCAAGAGAAATGAAAACATATATCCACATAAAGACTTGCACACAAATGTTCTTAGCAGCTTTATTCCTAATAGCCCAAAACTGGAAACAATATAAGTGTCCATCAACTGGTGAATGGATAGACAAAATGTGATGTAGCCATACAATGAATTATTATTCAACAGTAAAAAGAAATGAAGTAGTGATACATGCTACACATTGATTAACCTCAAAAACATGCTAAATGAAAAAAGCAAGATACAAGAGACCACATATTGTATGATTCTCTTTATACGAAACATCTAAGGGCAAATCTACAGAGACAGATTAGTGCTTGGAAGAGGAGATAGGAACAGAGATTAACAGTAAACAGACATGCGGGATCTAATCAGGGTAATGAAAATGTTCCAAAACTGTTTTATGATAATGGTTGCGCAACGTGGTAAATTTACTGAAAATCATTGAATTGTATACTTGAAATGGTGAATTATAAAATATATAAAGTATACCTTATATTATCAAATACAATCCTACAGTGTATCAAAAGGATGATACACTATGACCAGGAAGGTCTTTTTCTAGGAATACAAGAATGGTTGAGTATTAGGAAATCTGTCAAGGTAATTATATCAGTAACTTCAAGGAGAAAAAGCCATATGATCATATTAATAGATGTATAAAAGATACTGGAAAAAATTAGCAACCATTCTTAATTTTAAAACTCTAAAGTAAAATAGGGAGAGAAGAAAACAACCTATCTATAATAAAGATGGATTACTAAATGCTATAGTAACTATTATCTTAAATAGTGAAACACTAAAAACATATCAATTTAAACCAGAAAAATGGATACTCTATATCACCGTAATTATTTAACATTGCTTTGAAGGTTTTAGCAACTACCATAATAAAATAAAAATGAAATGATTGGCATACATATTAGAAAAAGATGTAACTATCCCTATTTGGTGATTATTATGATTACATGCCTAATAGCTAGAGTTTGATAAGGGAATGTGGTAAAGTTGTAGGTTATGATACAAGTATACAATGACAAAAGATATGTAAAGTGGAAATTCAAAATCTATTTCCAATAGCAATAAAAATTTTAAAAATATATTTAATATATTAATACATTTAATATAAAATTAGCATATTTAATTTAAAAAGGCATAATAGTACCTATATAAAGAAAGCTATAAACAGTGGAAAGGCATCTTGAACAAAAAGACTTAGCATCATAAAAATGTAAATTCTCCCAAAATTAATAAATTGAATGCAGTTCATATTAGAATGCCAACAGGATCAAGATGGCAAAGGGGAATTAGATAAATCTGTCTTAAGTTTATATGGAAAGTAAAGACTCAAGAATAGTCAAGGGCTTCCCTGGTGGCGCAGTGATTGAGAGTCCGCCTGCCGATGCAGGGGACACGGGTTCGTGCCCCGGTCCGGGAAGATCCCACATGCCGCGGAGCGGCTGGGCCCGTGAGCCATGGCCGCTGAACCTGCGCGTCCGGAACCTGTGCTCCGCAACGGGAGAGGCCACAACAGTCAGAGGCCTGCGTACCGCAAAAAAAAAAAAAAAAAAAGGCCAAGAAAACTGTGAAAATGAATAGTGAGGGTAGATTTATATCATATAAGCAGGAAATGCCATAAAGATGCTCTAATAAAATATAGTATTAGAAAAGGAATAGACAAATAGATTAGAGGATTAAAGAGCAGATCTCATATATCCTGAGACTATTTATGACCAAAGTTCAATTCAGTTGGAAATGGAGGGAATTATTTAGTAAGTGGTGCCGGTACAGAACTAGCTATTCATTTGGAAGAAAAAATATTTCTCAACTCATCTTCTGTTTAAAAATTAATTTCATATGGCTCAATATCCTAAATGAAAGAAATAAGGCAATAAAGGGGCAGGGAGGGGGATGGAGAACCAAGTACAAAAAGGAAAAAAATAATTTTTTAAAAGGCAGGGTATGACCATATTTATGCATTTACATAAAATTACATAGGTAAAAAAATAGGATTCAGTGAAGTACAAGGAATTTTAATTCATTTAGAATAAATCACCATTTGGAGTTCTTTGCCCCTTAAAAGAATTGGAAAGTTTTGTTTTTGCTGTTGCTTGCTGGTTGAACATTCTTTAGAGAGGTCAGTTAAATGCAGCCTAGTTAGTCAACTCCTGCTTATTATTCTTCAGTTAAAACTATTTCTAACTTAAAGAGTAAAATGATTTATTTTAGACAATCTGGAAAATATAGAAACATACAAAGAAAGATTATTTAAAACACCAGTTTCCCCACTACCCAGAGATAAGCACTATTAAGATTTTAAAGCATACCACTTCTCCTCAGTTTCTGTTTTTCAATGAAATGTAAAATGTAAATTTTGTAAATGTTGAATATTTTAGTTAAAAATAGATGTCCAGACTTGGATTCTTTTTTAACTTTTTGCTTTATCTTTTACAAATTTTTTTTTTTTTTTAATTTTTTTGGCTGTATTGGGTCTTAGTTGCGGCGCACAGGATCTTCGTTGAGGCATGCAGGATCTTTCCTTGTGGTGTGCAGGCTTCTCTCTAGTTGTGTCGCGTGGGCTCCAGGGTACGTGGGCTCTGTAGTTTGCGGCATGCAGGCTCTCTAGTCGAGGCTCACGCAAGCTCAGTAGTTGTGGCACGTGGGCTTAGTTGTCCCATGGCATATGGGATCTTAGTTCCCCGACCAGGAATTGAACCCATGTTCCCTACATTGGAAGGCAGATTCTTTACCACTGGACCACCAGGAAAGTCCCTTGGATTTTTTTTTTAATGAGATCATTTCCATTTGTGAACTAGTTTATTCTTTCAACCTTACTATTTTATTGGTCATTCAATACACATACTATTTCTTCTAGTTCCTAGCAGACATGGAAAATAATGCACTTTTTCGAGATGATATACAATGTCAGAAACTAATTATGGAAGCAATGAAGTATCACCTACTACCAGAGAGACGGCCCATGTTACAGAGTCCTCGGACAAAACCTAGGAAGTCAACTGTTGGTACATTATTTGCAGTTGGAGGAATGGATTCAACAAAAGGTATTAAATAATCTTTTATTTGAAGGAATGGAAAAATGAATATTTTAAAAATTTTTATTGAAGTATAGTTGATTTACAATGTTATGTTAGTTTCAGGTATACAGCAGAGTGATTCATCTATACATATACATATATCCACTCTTTTTATAGATTCTTTTCCCATATAGAGAAAAGAGTAATACTCATTACAGAGTATTGAGTAGAGTTCCCTGTGCTATACAGTAGGTCCTTATTAGTTATCTATTTTATATATAGTAGTGTGTATATATCAGTCCCAATCTCCCAATTTATCCCTCTCCCCTTTTCACCCTGTTAACCATAAGATTGTTTTCTACATCTGTAACTCTGTTTCTGTTTTGTAAGTAAGTTCATTTGTACCATTTTTGAAGATTCCACATATAAGTGATGTCATACAATATTTGTCTTTCTCTGTCTGACTTACTTTACTCAGTATGACAATCTCTAGGTCCATCCATGTTGCTGCAGATGGCATTATTTCGTTCTTTTTTATGGCTGAGTAGTATGCCATTGTATATATGTACCACATCATCTTTTTTTTTTTTTTTTTTTTTTTGGCGGTACATGGGCCTCTCACTGTTGTGGCCTTTCCCGTTGCAGAGCACAGGCTCTGGAAGCATAGGCTCAGCGGCCACGGCTCACGGGCCCAGCCGCTCTGCAGCATGTGGGATCTTCCCAGACCGGGGCACGAACCTGTGTCCCCCACATCGGCAGGTGGACTCTCAACCACTGTGCCACCAGGGAAGCCCACGGTGGCTTCTCTTGTTGCGGAGCACGGGCTCTAGGCACACGGGCTTCAGTAGTTGCAGCACACAGGCTCAGTAGTTGTGTCTCATGGGCTCTAGAACGCAGGCTCTGTAGTTGTGGCACGCAGGCTTAGTTGCTCCACGGCATGTGGGATCTTCCCGGACCAGGGCTCGAACCCGTGTCCCCTGCATTGGCAGGTGGATTCTTAACCACTGCGCCACCACGGAAGTCCTCAAAAATATTTTTGAACAGCTACTGTATACAGTGGAGTCTATTATATGCCACTGAGAAGGCAAAGATGGAAAGAGACTTGGTATTTATTGCAAATAACTTAAAATTTTGTAAAGTAAATAAAAAATAATAAAACTCAAATATATAAGAAAAATATATTTTATATATGCACACACACATATATATAAACCTTCAAAGGTTTCTTGCCATATATGTATATGGCAAAACTGTTTCTAAATTTTAGGAGATATCAATAGCGTCTGTGCTCTGGTGACCTAATTGTAGCAAATACTTTAGAATAAATGTTTGTCTTGATTGTAATTTTGTAAGAATAGCACTGATAACATGTTGTATTAGAAGCTTAGAAGACAGAAGTAAAGTAGATACTAATTGAACTCTTCATACCTGGGGGTTGGGTGTTTGTTTGTTTTAGAGGAGTGGGTCTTTTTTTTTCTTAATTCCACTCTTCTTACCTCATAAAGAGAACAAAAGAGTTCCTTGGCTCTTCTAATTCTTAAAAAAATGTAGACACTGTCCAGCAGTTATTCCCTAAACTTTCCACTCTCATAGCTCCCAAAGCACTTGATGTACACTTATGCTCTTGTCTTTCCTGGTTGCAGTGGAGTGTGTATCCTCTCCCTCCTATCAAAGCCCCTCCCCTGTGCCCTGATACTGCCCTTTCCTGCCTCTTCAGGAACCTCCCACCATTAATGAGGATCCTTTCATCTCCTGTATTTTCAGCTTCCTTCCCCACAACTAGATCCTTCCCATTGACTCAAGTTTTTCCACTTTTAAAAGCAAAACAAAACGAAACCTCCCTCCACTGAGTAATTCTTATCTCTCTCTTCCTTTTTGTAGCCAAACTTCTTAGAGGAATCGTCTATGCTCACTGTCTCCATTTCCTCACCTCTCAATCACGTCTCAACTGCTCAAACAAGGGACCCTGCCTGAAGTCATCAGTGACCTCCATGCAGCTAAATCCAGTCATACTTTTTAGTCTTCATCTTACTTGATACTCTCAGCAGCTATACACTTTTTTACTTTGGCTTCCACGGTGCTAAACTACCCTGCTTTCCTCCCACTTCTGGCTGTTGCTACTCAGCCCCCTTTTACAGATAATCCTTTCTCATTTGACCTCTTAGTACCAGAGCCAGGTGTACTCTGGTACTAGAGAATAGTAGGAGATGAGGACAGAGATACAAGCAAGGATGAGCTCATGCAGGGGCTTATTGTAATTTATTAAATGTATTACTGTCACTGCTAATAATATACTTTTATATGTCTAATTTCATAAAACACTCAAGCATGGTGAGCTTTTTATTTGCCTAACTTCTGTCTATCACTATTAAGGAGCAACAAGCATTGAAAAATATGATCTCCGTACAAATATGTGGACTCCTGTAGCCAATATGAATGGGAGGAGGCTGCAGTTCGGCGTTGCAGTGTTAGATGACAAACTGTATGTGGTTGGAGGAAGAGATGGACTGAAGACTTTGAATACTGTAGAATGCTACAACCCCAAAACAAAAACTTGGAGTGTGATGCCTCCTATGTCTACACATAGGCATGGCCTTGGTAAGCATAACTGCAGATTCATTCATAAGGTTATACCCTAGGCTTGCATGGCATTTTCACATTCCTTACCAGGCAGAAGAGCAGTGTGGCAGCTGCTGGGCCAACAGCAGTCACCAAGCGTTCCTGCACATGCTCCCTGTCATCTGAGAAGCAGAAGCAGAGAAAACAAGCCTGTACATAAATGTATATTGTGCAACCAGCACAAGTGAAAACATGAATATTTAAGAATTGTGGTGTACCACGATGGACTGACAAGCCACCTTCTGACATGTGGGTTCTATGTTGACAATTAGTGTTATCTAACCTAATTGAAATGCATACTTATTTAAAAACCTTTAGCATTATTGGTTTTCATCTATATCCCTTAGTTTTTAAGCAGAAATGAGTACGACGCAGAAAAATTTTGAGGTGGCACAGAGAATGTAATGATAGAGGCTTTTTTTCCTTTAATTCAGGAATTCACTGAGCAGATATTGCTTAGTGTGTGCTGTATGCCATGCTCTGTGTTCTGTAGGTATACAAAGATGAGAAAGATGAGGCTTGCAATGTATGTGTATCGTCCAGATTTTGCTGCATAACAAGCCACTTCAAAACTTGGAGGCTTAAACCAAGAACCATTTATTTAGCTCATGGATCTGTGTATCAGCTGGGCAGTTCTTCTGGTCTGGACTGTCTTAGAAGATTTCTGCTGGGTTTTCTCATGAATCTAGGTTGGGCAGGCAGGCTGGTTGGCTGGTTGATCTAGAATGGCCTCACTCACGTGGGTACTGGTAGACAGGCTGTCAGCCTGGGCAGCAGAGGCAACTGGGCCATATGATGCTAATCATTCAGGCTAGACCAGGCTTCTGCAAATGGTGGCAGTCACAGGGTTTCAAAAGCAGGAAGAGAAGGCATGCTCCAATGCACAAACACTTTTCAAGCTTCTGCTTGCCTCATGTTTGCTAACATCCCATTGGCCAAAACAAGTCACGTGGCCAAGCCCAGATTCAAAGGATAGAGAAATAGACTCCTCCTCTTGATGAGAGGACCTACAAGAATCACATTGAAAATAAGCATGTATTCTGGGAAAGGAAGAATATGTGACCTTATCGTCAGTTTATCACAATTTGGAAAATGTTTAAAATAGTTGCAATAAAGAATTTGATAGGTTATCATAAAAGATGAGTTAAAAGATGAATGAGTAGCAGTGAAAGGATAGTTGAGTTTGGATAGCATAGGTTTCTACTATACTCAATTTATTAATACTGAGCACCACAGTAGAGGTTGCCCAAAAGGCCAATGAAAAATATCTAGGCATGAAGATTGGTATGGTAGTGGATACAGCAAAAAATCAAAGAGACAAGTGTTTCTACTAGTTGCATTTGGGTTTCAATGAAAGATGATCTTAAATTCCAAGTTAGGTAAGTGAGTAAAACCAGACAGTTGGGGCTAAGGTACTGAGAGAAGAGCTTAAAATTAACTATATGAAATTTAACAAAGAAAACCATAACACATTACTCTTGAGTCCATAAAATCAACTATTACGTAGGCACAGAACAAGAAGATATATCTTAAAAGCAACATGAACAGGACTTACAAATTTGTGTTGACCATAAAATCCAGGGTCAAAAGTGTGATTCAATTGCAAACTTTCCCCTACTATGGGGAAAAGAAAATCAATTCTAACTTAAGATAAATCTTATATATATAGTATTACATAGAATGATAATGCCCATGATCCAGCTATGTCTTGTGCAGATGAGATTGTGCATGGAATACTATCATTAGTTCTAGGTACCATACAAAAGACTTTATTGAACTGCAGCAAGTTCAGAGAAGAATGATCATATCACTCACAGTGTCTTCTTTAAACCTTTATTTCCATTTTTGTGTCATTCAAAACAGCTTTGTTGTAACTATTTACCTTGTAATATTATTTACCTTATAATAAATAATGTTTTAAATTTGAACTTATAAAAGAAATCTTTATGTAAGTAAATTTTAAATTACTTAATTATACTCACACACATATATATAATTGAATATGTATTATATATAATTGGAGATAAATTAAATAGATAGATAGATCTCCTATAGCCAGTACTGGCAGAACACAAATGAGTGGAATGATACGTTGGTTTTGGTCATACATGAATGGTGACTATGTCATCTGGCCATGATTTCACAAAAGTAAATGTCTTCGTATCACAATATTTGTGTTTTGGCCTCGGACTTCGGTTGTTGCCGCACACGGGCTCAGTAGTTGTGGCACGCGGGCTCTAGAGCGCAGGCTCAGTAGTTGTGGCTCACAGGCTTAGTTGCTCCTTGGCATGTGGGATCTTCCCAGACCAGGGATCGAACCCGTGACCCCTGCATTGGCAGGCAGATTCTTATCCACTGCGCCACCAGGTAAGTCCCACTACTTTTTTTTCTTGTTAGCACTTATCAATGCCTGAAATATACTTTGTATCTGTTTCCTAACTAAAATGTTAGGTCGAGCCTTCCCTGGTGGCGCAGTGGTTAAGAATCTGCCTGCCAATGTAGGGGATAAGGGTTCGAGCCCTGGACAAGGAAGAACCCACATGCCACGGAACAACTAGGCCTGTGCGCCACAACTGCTGAGCCTGTGCTCTGCAGCAAGAGAGACCACCACAGTGAGAGGCCCGCGCACTGCAATGAGGAGTGGGCCCCGCTCTCCACAACTAGAGAAAGCCTGCGTGCAGCAACGAAGACCCAAAGCAGCCAAAAATAAATAAATAAATGATTAAAATAAAATAAAATATTAGGTCCATCAGGGCAGAGGCCTTATCTATTACGTTCTGCTAAGTGCCTGACACTTAGTAGAAACTCAATAGCTATTTGTTGAATAAATGAAATTTGGCTTGGTTCCCTCGCGATGAAACACGCCAATAGATTGTGGTATCTAATCTACAGCAAAATCTTATGAATTTGAATTAAAGGGAGAAAAGAATAAAATTGCTGTTTTCTAATATATTATAAATCCAAATTATTGAAAAATGTTTTAAGTATGGCAATGTGTGCATCTTGTATTTTTTTAAAATAACTTTCCCCTGTTGGACCTCAAAATACTGCCTCTAAAACTTTTTTTTTTTTTTTCGTGGTACGCGGGCCTCTCGCTGCCGTGGCCTCTCCCGTTGCGGAGCACAGGCTCCGGACGCGCAGGCTCAGCGGCATGGCTCATGGACCCAGCCGCTCCGCGGCATGTGGGATCTTCCCGGACCAGGGCACAAACCCGTGTCCCCTGCATCAGCAGGCAGACTCTCAACCATTGCGCCACCAGGGAAGGCCTGCCTCTAAAACTTTTAAGAGCTACAGTGCTATTGCTCCCCCTCACCCACCCACGTATCTACCAAGAAGAGCTATGAAGAAGCCAGATATCTTTATCATAAATTTTTGCCTAGTTAAATTTGCATGTTAAAGGTTCATTGTACTTACATTTCAGTTAAAAGATTTTTAAGTCATTGCTTCTTTCCTGTCTCCTTGTAGGTGTGGCTGTGTTGGAAGGTCCTATGTATGCAGTAGGAGGGCATGATGGTTGGAGCTATCTGAATACAGTGGAAAGATGGGACCCTCAGGCTCGCCAGTGGAATTTTGTTGCCACTATGTCCACTCCCAGAAGCACAGTAGGTGTGGCAGTACTAAGCGGAAAGTAAGGAAATATTTAAGGTTCCACTTAAAACACAATAAATTAAATGTATTAAGCTATATCTTGTCCAACTTAAAGATATATAGAAATCATGAGAGAGAGAACTCTGAGTGATGTAAACAACCTTTTTAAATAGTCCCTTTTTATAATAGCTCTAAATATAAATAGCTCAACATTGTTAGTCTTTTATTCTAATGTGCAGATATTATAAATTTCTAGTTATCATTTTGAGTGAATAAATTTTATATGAATATTCAATGTCGTCAAAATCTGGTGGTTCATATAACTTTAAAAGTATATGGTCTTTTAAAAGTTGTATGGTCTCTCTCATGTTTCCCTAAATAATTCTTTCCATTTCTTCTACTGATTTTTCCTTACTTTTACTTCCTTCTTATCTTGGTAAACTGCTGAAAACTAGAATGCATTTAGAAAGAGGTGCTTTCTTGCTTCTTATCTGCTCTAAATAAACAAATTTGGATAGAGCCACCACTCAAATACTAAATACATAGTATCTTTTTCAGGCCTTTCTTCCATAAAATGAAGCCCTTATGGTTATTAAATAAAAGTTGTTTGTTGCATACCTTTACTCACTTAAAATGTTTTATCATCATTTCCAGGAAGAGGAAAGAACCAAGGTTAAAACATAGAGACTTAAAATTATTTGTTGGATTGTTACTGATTATCAAAAAAATGTTAGTAATATTTTTATATTTTATGACCTAAGGTCTTGTTTCCTCAGGACCTGTTGCATCCTTTTTTTTTGTTAATTTTTAGCACGATTACAAGTAATAAGATATAGAAATAGAAACCCATTTTTTAAATATATCTGATCTCAATACAGCTCCCCTCATTTGTTTTAGCTAAAGAAATGGCTTCAAATTTTATCACTACATTTCTCTCCTAGTTCTTTGGTAGAAGAGTCAGCCACCAAAGAGTATAGAAAGTGAAAAAAAAGAAATTACTATTTCTGGCTAGAAATATTTATTTCTAATAGAAGACATAAGAATAAATGCCTTCTCTAAAACCTGATTTCCAAACCTACAGTATCCTGGACTTCTAGGCATAGAGGTATCTTACTTTCTTACCTTTTCTTGCTCTCTAATGAGAAATAAATATTTCTGTATTTAACCTACCTGAAGCACAATTTATTGAGTATAATTCTGAGAGTACCTAATAATATCAGAAGCTAAGGACTTCTTATCTACTAAGTAGTAAGACAGTTGATTTTGAAAGTATCGTATATCTACGTTGTGATTTTAACTGGTCTATTGGGGTAGACTGGTCACTTTGTCCCTAACCTTAACTCTCTTCCTTTCATTCTTCATTTTAGAGACTCACCTAATGTTCTGCCTAAAACACAAATAGGACCATGTCACTTTCCTACTTAAAACCTTTCAGTAGCTTATCTGACCAAGCCTCCTTTTTGATCTTGCCTCTGTCCACCTCTCTAGCCTCTTCTTTCTCCTCTACCCATGCATAATACACTCCAGCAAAACTAATCCATTTGTGAAAAATACATTTTGTTTCACATTCCTATTATCTGTTAACCGACACCATCTTTCTCAGATGGCAAACTCAGCATCCTTGAAACTTGCTTAAAAATCACCTCCAGGAAACCTCCAATCCCCACTCTCATCTCTTCATTCCCCCTGCACTGATTGTCCATTCCATCCTCAGCAATTTTACTGTATGTAATTTGTATATAATTGTATTGCAGCATGTACCACTCTATTGTAGTTATTGACTGGTCCATCTCCTATAGCAGATCATGGTCTTAAATGACCTGATCTGACTTCTTGTTTCTTACACCTAGCACAGTATCCAGCACATAAAGCTGAAGTGTGCAACCTTAGTGAAGAATATCTTGGTACCAGTTATATGCAGTAGTGCTTTAATCACCCCAAGAAGAGGATGTGTTAATCCATCAACCACCATTTTTCTAAGCTTGCACTAAAATAAAGTAGCAATGTTTTAAAATATTTTGTTAGTTTCCATTTTAGGGTACAAATCCAGAACCTGGAAAAAATAGAAATTATGTTGTTAATATTTTAAATATGCAGTTGATTGAAAAAATTAATTATGTATCTTCTCTCTACCAGTCCTTTGTGATTTAAAACAAATCATTTCTCTGTGCCTCAATTTTTTTAATTTATAAAATGAAAAGCCCAGTTAAATACTGTTTTTGTTATTTTAAATTATTTTACAATGCTTCCTGATGCAAAATATAGTTCGTTTCTTTAGGGAAGAACTGTTTTAATGTTTTATGAGTTACACTCTGTATCTTAAAATTTTGAAAGTGTTAAAATTTTTATTTCTGCCATGTTTGACAGAAAGAAGCTTTGTCTAAACTTCCAGTTGCTCAGGCTACTTTTAAGCCATTGGCTGGCAAATACTTTTGGCAATAGAATCTTTCTTTCAAGTGAAATCTTACAAAAACCTCGATACTTAAGGCAAATGGAGGTTCAAGTTTATAATAAGCTTATTTTAAATTTATTATAAGTTTGAGTTTATAATACTTACTGTAAAAATCAATGTAGAAGCATAAGTCTGTTTGAAAGAACACAGATTATTTCTGTTTTGTTTTGGTTGTCCAGTATGAAGAAAATCCTGATTCGCAGATAAGAAGCTGAAATTGGTAATAGTTATTTTAACTACTAGAGCAATTTAATTGGAATCACAGGAAATTCTTCAGTTAAATTGCTCAAGTAGTTTGAAAGTAGTAGACATTTTTTTTCTCAGCTGAATCTCAAACAATATCTACCAGCCACTTGTATTCTTGATCATAATTTTAGAAGTCAGGTGAGACCTAAATCTTATTTTTAAATATGTAGTACAAAACTATTGCAATTTGACATAATATTTATCTTTTTATTGTAATAGATATTGTCATGGGGAAGAAAGATGAGTTCTGAATTTTGCATGACGTTTAATTGAGCCAGGTGATACTTTTGAAAATTAAAACTACTTTTTAATCTTTAATTTTAAATGAACCATTTTGGGGGCCCCCTAACATCCTCCACAGAGTCCTGGTCTTAGGATACAGTTTGAAAACCATTGTGTGAGATATGATTCTTCAGAAAGTGTTACAATACATTTTAGCCCTTAATATTATCTCAGTATGAATGTTGTTTGTACATTTAACATCTCCTAAAATACCGTTTTCTAAAAGAATGCAAATAGAGACAGAATTTATTTTTCCCCTTTAACACATACCATGTTTACCATGTGCCAGGCAATATTCAAAGTACTTTAAATTTGATCACCAATAATCCTGTGAGGCAGGGCTTATAGATTTTATGGATGATGAAGTTCAGGCAGACAGAGATTAAATAACTTGTCCACAGTCACAGCTAGTAAGTGATAAGTGGTAGAACCAGGATTCAAACCCAGAGAGTCTGGCTCCAGAGTTCATGCTCTAAATCACTGTAGTACACCACTTTTCACAAGAAGACCCATGAGTTCACTGCGAAGAGGGTAGGGTGCTGGAAGCCTATGATACTATATGTGAGTGTGTACATATATTTTTAGTTATTGACATTTTCTAGTTGATTCCTTCTAATATTCTATGATCCATATTTATGTAATTATTCTTCCAAGTATTAAAGATGAGGACAGCTTAATATTAAGAACAGTAGTACAAAAAATAGTTTTTAACAGATAAAATTTTTAACAGATTAAAGTTTCAAATAAATTTCAAATTCCATACTATTAATATATTTTAAGTTTAGAACAAGACACTGCTACAAACATGCTTTGCTGTTTAAGATATGGTCGTCTTATTATTTAAGAACCAGTTTGAGTGGCATAGGTACTTTAAATTATGAATTAAAATTATGAAATCTGTCTTTAAAATATGTATATTTATCCAAATATAAATACTTAGAGTTTTAATGGGCAGAAATTTGATATAGTTCAAATATTATTTCTCAAGAATTAAAAATAGCTAAATATTAACTAAGGCATCCATAAATTCAAAATGTGTGAGCTTTTGAACAAGCAGTGAACTGAATTTATTATTATTTTTTAAATGATAGAAAAAATATCTACAAAGAGCTTCCTATGTGAATAGTAAGTGTAAGAAGATTTTGTGCTTAATAAAGAATATTCAAATGTTTAAATATTTAAAATATTTTATATATATTTTAAGTTCAGAGTAAAAAGACTTTTAAATTAATGCAGTATATTGATTGATAATAAATTGGTTTACTAGGCAATGTTTAGGACGTTAACATACCAATAAATATAAATATGGTATGTTAACGTCCTAAACGTTGCCTAGTAAATCAATATATTTGAATCTATAGTTTTATTCTCATATTTCACTATTACAAGTACATACCAGATGACTCTTGACTGTCCAACTGCTCATTAATATAACTATTGTCCTGGTTCTGCTTCTTCCTGGGTGACCATGTACAAGTCTCTTAATCTCCATGAACCCCAGTTTCTTCACCTGTGCAACAGGGATACAAATGGTTTGTCATAGCATCATTATAGTGATTAAATTAATACATGTAAAGTGCCTCACCTGTGGTAGGTGCTCAGAGAAGGTTAGTTTCTTTCATTTATCACCAAGTCCTATCTTAGCTATTTAAGAAATGTCATGGTATATTTATACACAATATTTTATCTATTTTAAGACATACTTTAACATCTCTAAAATTGTGATGCATTTTACACTCAATGATAACTTGTCAAACAGATGGCAGCTGTGAAAATGTTGTCATTGTTTTCATGTGAGTTTATGTTTTCTTTTTTATATATGTACAGAATAATATATGATATATATATGTGCCATTTAATTGGTAGCACATCTTTCTCTTTTTTATAAATGTATTTATTTATTTATTTTTGGCTGAATTGGGTCTTCGTTGCTGCACGCGGGCTTCCTCTAGTTGCGGCTACTGGGGGCTACTCTTTGTTGCGGTGCTCGGACTTCTCATTGCAGTGGCTTCTTTTGTTGCAGATCATGGGCTCTAGGCACGTGGGCTTCAGTAGTTGTGGCACAGTGGCTCAGTAGCTCTGGCTCGCGGGCTCTAGAGCACAGGCTCAGTAGTTGTGGCACACCAGCTTAGTTGCTCCGCGGCATGTGGGATCTTCCTGGAAGGGATCGAACCCATATCCCCTGCATTGGCAGGCAGATTCTTAACCACTGCACCCCCAGGGAAGTCCCATCTTCTTTCTTAATGGCACATAAATTGACAGTATTTCTTATCGTTGATAGGCACCTTGAATTCAATGAAATACCATAAGAATAACCTCTGTCTTATGCATAATAATAGCACCATCTCTTATTTATCATCCCATTTGTTGTTTTTACAGACTTTATGCAGTTGGTGGTCGTGATGGCAGTTCTTGTCTCAAGTCAGTAGAATGTTTTGACCCTCATACTAATAAATGGACACTCTGTGCACAAATGTCAAAAAGGAGGGGGGGAGTAGGAGTCACTACCTGGAATGGATTGCTGTACGCCATCGGAGGCCACGATGCACCTGCATCCAACTTGACTTCCAGACTCTCAGACTGTGTGGAGAGGTAATTTCCTGTGAAGGAAAACTAGGAATAAAAAATCAAACCTAAGCCTCTGATACTTCCACACGAATTGGTAACTCTTTATTGAGCATCCACCATGTGCAGGGCAGTTCCTTAGGAGCTCTGTAAACACTGGGTGGTCTGCTCAGGCCATCTCTCAGTCTGTCACCAAGAGCCTACTCAGTCTTCTCTCAATCTGACCTTAGAATTGATTATACAGTTTATTAATTGAATCATACGACAAACATTTATTGTGTACCTATTTTGTACTGGACATTGTACCTAATAAGAAAAGGGGTTTGACAAATTTCACAGAGAATTAATTACGGGCTGGAGGCCAAATAAGCAAAAAGGAGAGGGACATTCCTGACATATTTTGATATAAAATGAAGTAGTATGAAATACTAAAAGAAAATAAAGGGCTAGTAAGGCTTGAAATCTTGATCAAGTCATCCTTGTTCAAAACTCAAATATGGGCCTAGGTAAAGAGCCCGACGTCAGTGGAAGCTCTGGACAGTGGCTTAGGCTCCCATCTGCTATGGTCAGTGGAATGGGGAGAATTGAAGGGCTTTAGGAGGTAGAGTCAATAGGAGTGTGTATGAACACTCCAAAGCAGGAAGGAATATGTTTCATTCAGAAAACTGGAAGGTGGCCACTGTCATTGGAGAAAAAAGAATGATGGAGAGAGTGGCAGGAAAGGAGTGGGGGGACATTGGGCAGATCATGCAGAGTCTTGAGGCCTTATTAAAAACTTTGGATTTTAAAGAGCAATGGGAAGTTAATGAATGTGTGTGTATATATTATTCAATACGTTATAAATGACTAGAAGAAGAATAAAAAGTGAAATGAAGATTTGTTGATGACAAGTGCTTTCTATGAAATAATAAGCAGAGTTGGTTGGTGTTTTTTTGAGAGAGCATGATAGTTACACCTGCATTTCACCTGTATTGGGGAGAAAATAATTCAGACTATGCTTGTTACATGTTATAATCCAGGAAAGGGATATAGAAGTCTTTATATACTTTGCCCCATAAATTACAGGCCCACTACAGGACTGCACCCAGTGAAAAATTGTTCATTGATACAAGTATTGGAAGCAGTATAAGTCATCTTAGCATGATGTATCTGCTCTCAGATAGACAATTTGGGGCAGTTCTAATTAACATACTTCATGAAAGGAACAAGAAGCTCCAAAAATGGACAGTTAGCAGTGATTGAGGCTGTAAGTCATCTTACATAGAGCTTCATGAATTGATTTCCTCAAATTTTCAGTAGGCAACCTGAAACCTTAAAGCAGTTTCAACATTTACATTAGCTCTTTTGACTAGTTTAAGTGTTATGCATCTGCAAAATAGCTCTATTATGTTGTAAGTTAAAAGTTTTCAGGAAAATATTGATATTTTTCTCTAAAATATGTTCAAATGTACTTTATATAGCAGATAAGATAAGATTAAAGGACAAAACTATTTTTATGTAAAATACTGTGAGAACAATATCAGCTCCAGTTCTAAAATTTTCTTTCAGATATGATCCTAAAACGGATATGTGGACTGCAGTGGCATCTATGAGCATCAGCAGAGATGCCGTGGGAGTCTGTTTACTTGGTGATAAATTATATGCTGTCGGAGGGTATGATGGACAGACTTACCTTAATACAGTGGAGGCTTATGATCCCCAGACAAATGAGTGGACCCAGGTATGGCATTTCATTTTTCATTATTACATTTACTCTGTTTTTGTTACAAACAATTGTTTTGGTAAAACAAATCCTCTCAATTATGTCCAATATCAAAATATATAGCATAAACATGATAAAGTCATCTTTTAACTAAATATAAGAAAACAGGGAATGTTTAATTTTATAGTATAGTTAAAATCCAAAATTACCTTTAAAATACAAGTTAGTACTCAAAGAAATTCTTATTAGTTGGTTATTACTATTATTAGCTGCCACCATTTACTTGCTGAGAATTGATGAGATGTTCTAGCATAGATAGAGCTGATAGGACCACAAGAGGGCTGTAATAAAGGGAGGGAGATTGTGGAAAATTAAAAACAAAGATAGTCAGGAACAAATGAACCACTTACCCATACATGAGCAATAATTTTTAAATACTCAAGCCACAGATATTTGGGAGCAGATCAAATGTCTGGTTATAACCTAGTAAAGATGGCAATCCTAAATTACATTAACAAGTAAGAAACCTGACCTGACAAACTTAACAGAAAAAATTCCCTCTTTGTCTATTTCTGAGAGGGCCTAGCACTTCTAAGAATGATCTTTTGAGATCTTTGTTTCCATCATCACCCAGAACAGAACCAGGAATTTTCTGCCTCTGGCATCCAATTCAGTATATGGTACATAAAAGGCACTCAGATGTTTAATTGAGCCAAGGTTTTCCTACATGCGAGGAGCAGTGGTAAGTACTGTCAAGAAAACAATACCTATGAGAATCCCTGCTGTCACAGAGCTTAACTACTTAGGTAGGTGAGATCTGCTCATGTAAAGGGAGGATCCACAGTGTGGAGCAGTTGGTATGAAATGTCCCATGGTATAGGCAGTGAGTGGCCTAGGAAATCAAAGAGAAGAGAGAAAATGGCAGTTGAGAGGGCTTCAGTAAGGAAGAAGTGGGATTTAATCTAAGCCTTAATGAATTGATCCAATTCAAAAAGATAGAAGGAAGGGGCTTCCCTGGTGGTCCAATAGTTAAGACTCCTTGTTTCCACTGCTGGGGGCGAGTGTTCGCTCCCTAGTCAGGGAACTAAGATCCCACATGCCGCGCAGCGTGGCCAAAAAATAAAAGGTAGGAGGAAAAAGGAAATTGTGTGAGAAAACATGAAAGAAATGTCACTAAAGCAGAAATATGCAGGCTCTATTAAGGAAGTGTGGCGGGTTATAAGGCTCCATGCTTGAGAAGAGTAGGAGTTCTTATTGGACAGGAAGGTTGGGGTCAGGATGGAGGTCCGCAATGGTCAACCTAAAGAGTTTGGTAATGAGAAACCAGTGGAGACTTTTAACCAAGAGATTTAACCAAGAGAGCAATGCAGTAATAGAAAGTCCACATGTCAGCAGGTGGGGACAGGGTAAGTTGGGTTAGGGGCAGGGTAAGTGAAGCCTTATAAAACATTTATAAACATTTATGAAGTTACTTATAAACATTTATAATGTTACTTCAGTTATAAGGCTTGAAGTGTTAAATATACAGATGGATCCAAGAGATATTACCAAGTCCTGTTTATTTTTAATTTATACACTGACTAGGTTGTACAGAGAGGTGCAGCTTCTGAAGGAAACAGCAAAGGAATGATCAGAGAGTGTCTTAGTAGATAATGAAATAGAACATTAAAAGAAAGGCGGGGGAAAAAAAAAAAAAAAGAAGAAAGGCGGGGCCAGGGGGCTTTCCTGGCAGTCCAGTGATTAAGATTCTGCACTCCCAACACAGGGAGCACAGGTTCAATCCCTGGTGGAGGAACTAAGATCCCACATGCTGCATAGCGCAGCCAAAAAAAGTGTTTAAAAAAAAAAAAAGGAGAGGGGAATTTCAACAGCGTAAGGAAGAATGAAGAAGATTTGTCATTCATGAAGTTGTCAGGACCTTTGAGAATATGATAGAAGCAGAAGCCACCACACAGTGTAAAAAGTAAAGAGAAGAGTAAAAGTAAATGTGGGAGTTAGAGGGGCATACAATTTTAAAATAATGATGATGATAGAAAGTTAATACTTACTGAGTACATTTTATGTACCCAACTCTGGTCTAAGTACTTTACATTAAAGAATCTTCCCAACAACACTATAAGGAAAGTACTATTATTTCCTCACTATGTTGGATGAAGGAGTCTGAGACAGAGAGGTTAAATAGGTGACCCAACGTCACACAGCAGATAAATGGTGGAGTTAGAATTTGAGCCTAGGATCTTTTTCACAATAGAGATGAAGACAAGAGAGTTGAACAGGGTTCCAGATGCTAGAAGGAGAAAGCAAAATTGAAGGGCACTTTTCTGAAAGAAGGACAGGAACAGAATTGAGAGCAAAGGCGGGTCCTCCTTAGACTGGAGGAAAGATCTTATCCTCCAAAGCTGGAGGGAAAAATGAGAATATCAGTGTAGAAAGATACAAAGTGTTTTCAAGTGAAGAGAAGGATAGAAAAAGAGACTTAGATTGTTATGACCTTGATCTTGTTTCTTAAGTAAGTGAGATCACTTGGTGAAGGCGAGAAGGCATAATTTGAGAGCTTGAGTTAGAGCTACGGGATTTCATAGAAATTATGAGATTACCTACCATCAGCCTCCTACCGTGGCAGAAGTAATTGTGAATGATAACCAAGGAATCCAAGAAGAGATAGAAGAATCTCTTTTCCTGAGATGTATTTTATTTAAGCCCTTAGGCCAGTTATAAGGAAACCTATTAGCCAGTATTTCAGACTTGTTGTTACAGATAATTAATACCTTATGCTGAATCACCCTGTATCAAAATTAATAATCTGTGACCACATAGCTCTTTGGTTTACATGCCATCTCCATTACTTTTTAAAAAATTTTTTTATTGAAGTACAGTCAATGTACAATATTATAAGTTACAGGTATACAATATAGTGATTCACGATTTTAAAGGTTATGCTCCATTTATAGATATTATAAAATATTGACTATATTCCCTGTGTTGTACAATATATCTTTGTAGCTTATTTTACACATAATAGTTTGTACCTCTTAATCCCCTAGCCCTATTTTGCCCCTCCCCCTTCCCTCTCCCCACTGGTAACCAATAATTTGTTCTCTATATCTGTGAGTCTGTTTCTTTTTTGTTGTATTTGCTAGCTTGTTGTATTTTTTAGATTCTACATATAAGTGATTTTAAAGCTCCTAAATGTGAATTTACAACCATAGTACCTGAAAAATAAATGTTTTCCATTTAATGTTTCTACAAATGGACAAGAGGACATTTATTTGTACAGGGAGTGAAATGCGATTACTAAGTCTTAAGGCATCACCCACCCCACTACCAGCCTTGACCCAAAGCAGGAGGTGACTGCATTGTATTTAATAAATTCTCTAAGCTAAACTTCTAGCTGGTGTCGTGACAACATCAGCTGTTCACAATGTAGAGGCTTAGTGTCTTGAGTGTTTTGAGAAAAGCTGCTGATTACAGACGTTTTGATTTAAATGACGTAGAGGTTACTTCTAGAATACTGTAAGTAAATATGGTTTTAAAACAGGTTATTTGTTCAAAAAGATATAACAGTGATCAAAACAACTGATTCAGATGGAGAACAACCACGAATTCTCTTAAAATTGAAGTCAGATGTATTCTTAAGATCCACTCATTGGTCTGGGGAGGAGGAGTCAAAATGACTAGAAAGTCACTTTGATATCATGTATTTGACAAAAGTACTTTATGACATACACCCACATACATAAGTACAAAACAAACTTTCTTAGTACTTTATATTAGTCACCCCTTCCCAAATGCTAATGTCTTAATTCTGTTAGCTCAAATGCATAGATTCTTACTGGGCTCCAAGTAGTCCTTCTTTTAAAACTATCCTTGTCCACACTTATCTCCGCTATGAATTGCCCAGTGTCTAGAGTACTTTAAAAAAAAGACAAGAAGTGAAAGATTTAAGAATTGTTCCTAATGCATAAGTCAAGATTATACTTTTCCCGTAGTACCTCATACTTCTATCTCACTGTCATGGAGTTTATTCACCAGGTTTGTTTCCACTCCTAAGGAGTTCAATCGGTAGTATTTATTATTTATTCACTCTGGTTAAAAAGCAGTAGAATGGGTTTAGACCCTTCAGCCACGCTGAGAAGGTCATCAGTGAATGTAAAGTTAGCGGTTCCTCTGGAGTCGACAGACCCAGGGCATGTGGTATATTCTGTGTACTCTCTCTGAGGTAGCACTTCCGTTGCATGGCCTCTCAGGATAATACTTGATATTTTCTCCATATTAGTCACAAAGTTACTCTAAGTGTTCAGCATTTCCTCACATCCATATTGTGCATCATGTTGGCCAAAATAGTGTTTCATGTAGAACAATTCCTGTGCTATCTTTAAAAATTACCTTTAAAGAGAAGTAAATACTACATAATTATGTTATATACCCAAAACAATTTAGTCTATGAAGCTTTGGCATCAGGAGGAAGAGTCTTGTTTAAGACCTGGGCCAGCTTAGGGTTCAGGCAGCAGCTCTTTGCCAACAAGTACGAACTATTTCAGTATTTCACCGACTGGTGTGGTATTATCAATGTTTTTACTCACAAACCCAACACATGTCTTTTTTTTTTTTTTTTTAGGTTGCTCCACTGTGCCTAGGAAGAGCTGGGGCTTGCGTTGTGACTGTAAAGTTATAACTTAGTGCTTTGTTTTCTAAATGAAGATATTCACTTCCTTTATGAATTTAGTATAATTGTTCTACTGTCAATGGATACGTTTTTAGTAAATTTGCAAGGCCACATTCCAGAGCACGAAGTGCCTGGTCTCTAAGGGAAGATGTTAAAACAAGGAAGAACCAGGATTAAATACTTTTATTTCTTAGCAAATCAAAACTGCAGCTGGTGGATTGTGAATGTATGTTCCTGATATAAAATATGAGGACAAATGCACTGCTCCTGACACAACCCAGTGTTAACTGGGAATTTCATTTCTTTTAATAATCAAGCACATTTTGCTGATATTATCCACATTTCTTTTCTTACAGTGCAAATACCCCAGGTAAAACTTCTAATGTTTTGCTATGTAACTTTATCATACATGAATTATGGTAATTTTTATTCATTTGTTTACTTAACTACAACCACTGTCTTAATGATATTACTAAAGACTATGCATTTAGCTGTTTTCAGAAATAGCTGCATTATATATGCTTCGCTTGTGGATATATTTCTAAAATCGGCTTAGTCCAGCGAATAAATAAAAATATTAAAGAGTTAGAACAACAAAGACCAAATAAAAACTTGATATGACCTTTGGGATCTATTTAAATGTTCATTCCATCTAGATTCACCAAGAACTCCATGTTATTGATATTCTTAAATTAGAATTGAAACATGGTGTTTTGCATTAAATTTAAGATATGCAAATTTTGTGGAGAAAATAAATGTTATATACCCTCTAATGTTCTTTCACCTAATTAGCATTTAATCGTGTGAATTTGCTTTCTTTTATATCGTTAAAAATGTTTTGATTTTGTCTTTTTATATTGACAGAACTGTTTGGATATTCTTATGTTCTCAGATCTCTATTTGCCTCCCCTGCCTTGTTTGCTATCTTTTGCCAGAGTTAGTTAATCCTTTGTGCTTCTTTGTAATCAAACAGTTTGGGGGGAAGGGGCTTATTCAATGTTTGAAAAATAAGTTTAAAGTGTTTATTACCCAAAGTTTTGTACATTTGTAAACTTTTAATTACACATGTGAATGTTAATATTCTCAGTGAATTATTTATTGTTTGCAAAAATGCACTGGGCAGTAACATTTTATGATAAATCCTTTAAGGTATAAGTCTTTAACTTATATCTTAATATAAAATGAGTATAAACTAAATTCCCACCTTTTAAAAGTCCATATTGTGGTTAATGTGTTTTTACATTTTATATCAGGGTAGGCTTTATTTTAGTTGCTTCCTTTAAAAATTAAAAGAAACTTTTTTTTAGCTGATTTTGAATGCTTGTGAAATGTTTCTACACAGGAAACAAAGAAATTTAGTACGTCTATGCACAAAACAAATTCCATGGGCATTTTACTGGTGTGGCCACTAAGAAAATAGCAGTGATAGTGACAAATACATTAATATTTCATATATTCATTATAGTGTGGATATGAATTCAGTTACTTTCCTGACAAGGAGGGATTAGTGGTAGAGTATATTTATGTATTTAGGGTAAGGGAGAGAAGAAGAGGAAAAGCTATAAGAAACAAAGCAAAAATTTCAAAAGCAGAAATGTGTCAGTACATCATCCCTTCTTGTGGAGGCTTAGACCTGTGATTTGGAAGGAAAGTACTTACACTTGTGATCATTTCTCATCTCCACTCATCATCCACTCTCTTGTTCCCTGTGCCCGCAATGGAGTCAGACTCGCCTTAAAGTAAAGGAACTGATTCTTTTCTCTGAGGATCTTCCTTTCCTTTATGAGATTCATAGAACAGTCCCTTTGATTTTTTATCCCACTGAAGGGGCCTCTCTAATGCAGTTTTGTCATCAGCAGGCTCTGCTCTTCTGGGTACTAGTGAAGAAAACTATTTCTTTTCTAGTGACAGAGCATTCACCAAAGCATTCATTCTTCTCCTAGTCTGGGATCTTATAAATCTAGAGGAAAATATGGCCCTTCCTTGTGTGCATCATCTAACATTGCTGTCTTGACTTTTACTGTTAGCTTCTGCACTGAGATGTCTAGCTGCTCTTAATTTTAACCCCAATTAATGACCACCTTATGAAAAATAATAATATTTCTTATAATTATTGAATGTTTATTATGAACCAGGAACCAAGTTTTTGCATGTATTAATGCACTTAATCTTCACAGCAACCTTATGAGGTATGTTCTGTTATTATTCTCCTTTTTACAGATGAGGAACCTGGGTCAGGAAGAGTTTAACCCCAAGATTCTATATAGCAAATAAGTGGCAGAGCAGGGATTCAAACACAGGCAGAGGCTCAGGAGTCCATTCTGTCATCACTCCTGTTTCTAGGTAGAAAAAGAAGTTTCCTTTTATGTGAGAAATCATTTACTTTAACAAAAAGAAATGTGAAGAAGGCTTATGCTTTTTAGAAGTGAAATTTATCAGTCACACTCTTATCAGAAGATTTTTGTTTCTTACTATTGGGGAAATTTTGTTTAATTCTCTTATGGAATTTTATATACATTTTGCTTTAGAAGACTAAATGCAAGAAAACATACATTTCAGGTTTTATAAATATTAGATAAATTGCATGGTATTTTGGATGGCTGAACCATAAACAAATTTATTCATCAAAAATAAGCTTTATTGCCAACAAAATAGATAACCTAGATGAAATGGACAAATTTCTAGGAACACACAAATCACCAAAACTGACTCAAGAAGAAGTAAAAAGTCTAAACACATCTATAACAAAGAGATTGAATCAATAATCAAAAACCCCTCAACAAAGAAAGTACAGAACCAGAATTTAGTAGAAATCGCTGGTGAAGTCTACCAAACATTAAAAGAAGAATTAACACGAATTCTTCTTAAACTCTTACAAAAAAAAATAGATAAGGAGTTAACACTTCCTAATTCCTTCTATAAGACCAGCATTACCTTGATACCTAAGCCAGACAAAGACAGATTATATACCATGACAAACTAAGATTTATTGCAAGAATATGGGGATGATTCAACATATAAAAATCAGTCAATGCGGTATACCACATAATAGAATGCAGAGAACTCAGAAGAAACTAGAACAGTGTTATGAAAATAAAGCTCTTTGTTATTAAAAAAAAAGAATGAAGGGAACATAAACATTATCATCTCAATTGATAAGAGAAAGCATTTGACAAAAATCAGTACCCTTTCATGGCACTCAGCAAACTAGGAAGAGAATGGAATTTCCTCAACCTGTTAAAAGGCATTCACGAAAAACCCACAGCTAACAGCATACTAAATGGTGAAAGATTGAAAGGTTTCCCTCTAAGATCAGGAAAATGCTCACTCCCACCACTGATAGTCAACATTGTACCAGAAGTTCTAGCCAGAGCAATTAGGCAAGAAAATAAATAAAAGGAATCGCAATTAGAAAGGAAAAAGTAAGACTCTCCATTTGCAGCTGACATGATCCTATGTATTAAAAATCCTAAAGAATACACACACAAACTATTAGAGCTAATAAACAAATTCATTAATGTTGCAGGATACAAGATCAACACACAATTGTTAGTTGATTCCTATACACAGGCCCCCCCCCCAAAAAAAAAGCTAAGATGGAAATTAAAACTATTCCATTTACAATACTTGAAAATAAATCTAACCAAGGAGGTACAAGGCTTATACATTGAAAACTACTAAACATTGCTGAAAGAAATTAAATAAGACCTAAATAAATGGAAGACATCTCATGTTCATGGTTTGGAAGACTTAAGATGGCAATACTCCACAAATTATAGATTCAATGTAATCTCTGTCAAAAGCCCAATGGCCTTTTTTTGCAGAAATGGAAAAGCTGATCCTAAAATTTGCGTAAAATTGCAAAGGACCCAAAAGAGCCAAAACAATCTTGAAAAAGAACAAAGTTGAAGGACTCACGTTTCCTTATTTCAAAATTTATTGCAAAGCTACAGTAATCAAAACAATGTGGTACTGGTGTAGGGATAAACATATAGACCAAAAGCATAAAATAGAAAGTCCAGAAATAAACTGTGGTCAACATATTATGGTCAATTGATTTTCAACAAGGGTGCCAAGGCCATTCAATGGAGAAAATAGTCTCTTCAGGGATATTCATGTTCAAAAGAATGAATTTGGCCCTTACTTTACAACATATATAAATATTACCTAAATATAAGAGCTAAAACCATAAAACTCTGAGAAGAAAACAGGCATAAATCCTCATGACCTTTGATTTGGCAATGATTTCTTAAATATGACATCAAAAGCACAGGCAACAAAAGAAAAAATAGATAAATTGGACTTCATCAAAATTAAAAGCCTCTGTATCAAAGGATACTATCAAAGTGAAAAAACAACCCACACAATGGGAGAAAATATTTGCAAATCATATATGATAAAAGTCTAGTATCCAGAATATATAAGGAACTCCTACACTCAACAAAAAGACAAACAATCTAATTTTAAAATGGGCAAATGACTTGAATAGGCATTTCTCCAATGAAGATATATACAAATGGCCATCAAGCACATGAATAGATTCTCAACATCATTAGTTATTAGGGAAATGCAAATCCAAACGACAATAAGATACCACTTCACATCCACTAGGATGACTATAATTTTAAAAACAGAAAATAAGTGTTGGAGAGGATGTGGAGAAATTACATAGCAAAGAAAATGGTAAACCAAGGTGGAGCTTCCAACATCAAGAAAGTGATTGAAAGAAGATGAAAGACTGAGGAATGAGGCCTTGAACTCAGTATGTCAGGTCTCCCCACTGAGTCTCTGGGCCTAAAGACAAGCAGAGCCTCTCTTAGGTGTTGAAGCATTTAAATGAAATTGGGCTAAAAGCTCATGTTTTATTAAATTGCCTCAGACTTGGTCATTTGTTTACTGAAATATAGGGAGGTTGAGTCAACTTGATTACGTGGCAGATACTGTGTGCTGAGTACATCATGTATATGTTCATACATTTAATCTTTACAATAGCCCTATGAGGTAGATATGATTATTCCCACTTAATGATGTAGAAACTAACAGAGCCAAATTTAAAAACCAACCAGATGTGTATGACCTTAGAGCCTTTAACAAAGATCTATGCAAGATTGCCACATGAAGGTGAGTTCTGGCTGTCCTGATTACGTAGGATGATGGTACCTATTTGATGCCAAGGTTAGATATTGTGATAGTGTCCTCATCACATCTGTGCTACATTTTAAGCTTTTAAGGAGTAGAAACAGGCTGGGTAGTTCTGCCTATTATGTGCATGAGTGCATACACACACACACACACACACACACACATGCAGAAACTGATCCTTACTAAGTACCTTTCTGTGGTGAGAGGACAAAAGCAGGGCATTTTAGTAAGGATGGCATATTTAATGTCCTGGGTACAGAGAAGAATTGGTGCTGTCAATAGAGTGAAGAGCAGGGATGCTGAGTAGAGCAGCAATGAGTGGAAATGAGAAGATGAGCCATTAGTAGAAAGTCATGAATCCATTATTAGAAGCTTAGTATAATTTAATAGAGACAAGTGCTTAAAAATTCTAAGGATATGAGGAAGATGATTCTGTAGTTATGATGTATTAGTCAGGGACCAATCAGGAGACAGAAACCACACAATAATTTGAACAGGCGAGGTTTGATATAAAGAATTAAATGCTATAATAGAGGACTGAACTCACAAAGGATTGGCTGGTTATTAAGATTTGGAATTTGATTCTGCCCTATTTGCAAGCTAGTAAATTATCCTGTTATTGTTTCATGGATGCTGGCGGAAGACACAAAACTCCTGGATCAGAGAAAAAGGACTTCATTACTCAAGGCGTAGAAAGCAGTATGACTGTCATCTTTGGGTTAATTCCCCTTGCCTCCCAAGTCCCACATGAGCAACGTGGAAAATCCCAGGTAGGAAATTCCCTGACTTGGGGAATCCACTGCTTTTGTAGTAAATGGTAGGCAACGCTGAATTTAAACTATGTCTCAAATTTTAAAATTAATGTGTAGCATCTAATATTCCTTCCATGATCTGATTCCCTTGTCCAGCCCCAATTAAACTTCAGATTCAGAAGTTCAACAGAGACATGGAGGTACATCTCATGTTCTACCTAAACGTCAATTGAGAGAGCAATAAAGGATGTTCTTTTCCTTTTCTGCATGAACTAACAATAACAACAAAATCTGTTGTGGCCATCTTAGACTGTGTCATACCAGACTATGGACCCTTCCTTGGAGAAATGAAAAAGAAAAGAAAAGAAAAGAAAATGAGTGACTAAATAATAGAAAAAAGGAAGAACATGGCAATGG